ATTTTGACCAAATGAAGGAAGACCAAGTTGGCCACTTTGAAGTAAAAAAATACATTCAACATTCATGCATCATATTTAGACATTTGCAAAAATAGGGGCATTTTTATTCATTTTATCAATTTGAATATTTGACAGGAATTTCAAAGATTTTAGTAAAGATTCGAATCCATCACTCAATGGATCAACATGCCAGGTAGAGTTCATAATGAGAAGAACTCACCTGAAGAAGGAAGGAAAAGTTCATAATGAGAAGAACTTGTTCAACCTTTTGCTTGAATTCATCACTTGATGGATCAACATTGCCAGGTATAGTTCATAATGAGAAGAACTCATCTGAAGAAGGAAGAAGAAATTCATAATGAGAAGAATTTGTTCAAACCTTTTGTTTAAATTCATCACTCGATAGATCAACTTTTCCAGAGAAAGTTCATAATGAGAAGAACTTATCTGAAGAGGAACAAGAAGTTCATAATGAGAAGAACTTGTTCAACCTTTTGCTTGAGTCTATCACAGAAGAAAATATATCAGCACCAACATTTCCAGATAAAGTTCATAATGAGAAGAACTTATCTGAAGAGGAAGAAGAAGTTCATAATAAGAAGAACTTGTTCGACCTTAGCTTGATTCATCACCTATGGAGTTGAATGAAAGAAGAACCTCTCTTAAGGATCAACATTTTCAGAGGAAGTTCATAATGAGAAGAACTCATCTGAATAGGAAGAAAAAGTTCATAATGAGAAGAACTTGTTCAACCTTGTCTTAAATTCATCACATATGAAGCTGAATCAACAACCCCTCTTTTAAGGATCAACATTTCCAGAAGGAGTTCATAATGAGAAGAACTCATCTGAAGATGAAGAAGAAGTTCATAACAAGAAGAACTTGTTCAAATTTTTTAATAAATTACATCACATAAGAAGATAAATTATCATCCCCAGTGGAAAAATGGAAGAGTTCATAATAAGAAGAACTTGTTCAACATTTTCATCTTAATCAAGAGAAGTCAACTGAACAAAAATTTTTTGTCTTTTCGTTTTTGCCCTATTCTTGTTAACACAAGAATGTACAAAGAGGGACAACTGTAGACACTAAATTTTTGGCCCGTTTTATTTTTATTATAATTATTATAATTGTTATAATATTAACAGAGGAAGTTCATAATGAGAAGAACTCATTTGAATATGAAGAAGAAGTTCATAATGAGAAGAACTTGTTCAACCTTATCTTAAATTCATCACATATGAAGCTGAATCAACAACCCCTCTTTTGAGGATCAATATTTCCAGAAGGAGTTCATAATGAGAAGAACTCATTTGAAGATGAAGAAAAAGTTCATAATAATAAGAACTTATTCAAATCTTTTGATAAATTACATCACAAAAGAAGATAGATTATCATCCCCAGTGGAAAAATGGAAGAGTTCATAATAAGAACTTGTTCAACATTTTCATCTTAATCAAGAGAAGTCAACTGAACAAAAATTTATTGTCTTTTCGTCTTTGCCCTATTCTTGTTAACACAAGAATGTACAAAGAGGGGCAGCTGTAGACACTAAATTTTTTGCTTGTTTTATTTTTATTATAATTATTATAATTGTTATAATATTATTATAATTATTATTATATTTTTATTATTATTAATAAATATAATTATTACATATTACAAGCCCAAAATCGGAGCCCAATTACAACAGTGACCCAATTACAACCCAGTCCAGACACTTGACCCGGTCCTGGACACCCTCATAGGGTTACAACATCTTCTCCAACCGTCATCAATTAACAGCCGTTGGATATGGCAAGATCTAACGACCCAGAGCCTTCCAGATGAAACCCTAGGGTTATGATACCCTAGGGCCACGTCTCCGCTGAGAAGATTCCAGCCGCCCCACGTCTACACGCTTTTGACACTCCACTGCTAGGTGGTCCAACGCCCCGCTGTCGACGCTCGTTGCCACGCCGATGCCTCCGACGAAACCTCTAGAAGGCCACCCACGTCAACGTTATGATGAGTCACCACAGAGTTTGGTGACTCACCGAAGGACACCATCCTTACCCGGTCCGACGAGAGTCTCACCGAGACTATAAATCTTCAACTTACCTGCAAACAAAAAGAACAGAGGGAGCCGAGAGAGGACATCAACCAAGAACAGAGCAAACCAAAAGCAACAGAGAGGAAGAAGATACTAGCCAAACCGAGAGTAAACAACCACCAAACAACAAACAAAAAAAAAAGAGGAAAATAGACCTTAAGATGGTCAGATCTAGGATTTAGGTGTTTTTGGTAATTTTTGGCCACCGTCGATAGTGGTCGGCGATAGTGGCTGGCGTCGGAAAAGGTGGCCGGTCGGAACTCGGCGAGAGGATTTAAGAGAGAAGGGAGAGAGATAGAAGCCAGAAAATAAAAAAAGGGAAATGGCCCAAGAGGGCCGGATTTTGGGTTTATATACTCCTCCTCGAACGACGTCGTTTTGGGGATGAATCCCTGTGTAATTTCTCGCATGGTCAAACCATACGCGCAGACCCTCTATGTTTGTATCTATACAATTTGGTCATTAAAATTAATTTTCATACATTTTAATTATATATTTTAATTTTTTTATTATAATTTAGCCATTATAATAAGTTTTCATATATTTTAATTCAGTATTCGAATTTTATTTTATTTATAATTTAGTCACCGTATATCTATGTTTAAATATTTAGGCTAAATATCATGATTTAACCCTATAATTTTATTAATTTATGTTTTCATCACCTGTTAATATTTATGGCTAAATTACACTATAGGTCTCTAGATCTTGTGATATTTCTAATTAAAGCACTAAGTTTAATTATTTTACATTTTAATACTATAATTTTAATTTCTTTTATTTTGATCATTATTTATTTGCAATATTATTTTATTATTACTTTTGATATGTTTAAGATTACTTTAATTATTGTTTTATTATTATTTTCATATTAGTCATATATATATATATATATATTTGTTTAGATTTTAATATTTATTTATTTTTTAATATTAAGAAATGGGCTTTCTTAAAGCACCTAGAAGTCATTTTCTGATATTTCTAAATAAATAAATATCTTATTTATAAATATATATATATATATATATATATATTCTTAAAATTATATTAATTTGAAATAACAAGATTATGAATTAAATATATTTTTGAATTTTTAATTTTCAATAATAGAGACAAATTATAATTAATGAGTACCAATTTTGGGCGTTAAAGGGGTGATAATCCTTCCCTAAACGTAATCGACTACGAATCCCTTCTTTACTAAATATTTTTGGTTATACACAGATCAGTTTATCTTTTAAATTATGTTTTTTAAAAACTATTTTAAAAGATTATTTTTAGGTATTTGACCTACCTAACCCAAAGGGTCAATGGCGACTCCCAAAATATTTTATTTTAAATCAAAATCATTTATTTATTCATTTTAATTTTCCCACCAAGTAAAAATTCGTGCCCGGGCGAAAACCGGTTACTACAATCGCTAGAAGACCTTGTGATTAACAGTCACACGCTCTAACCAATTAAGCTATTTTAGCAAATTGTGATTAGTTCAAATTCTAACATTTATAATATGTTTAATTCAATGTAATATTCTAAATCCATTCATATAAAAAAAACTTATAAAGCCTTTAATTTAGTAAGGCTGGATAAAAAGTAAAAATTATATCAGATTATATTGTTTAATAATAGCTATAAATCTCTTAAACTATAGCCATACTATTAAAAAAATTGTATAGTAAATTTTACTGCATAACAATATTATTAATTATTAAAAGCATTTAAAATAAATTATTCTATTAAATAAGTAAAAGTTCTTAGTACATATTTATTAGCAAATTCTCAAGATGGAAAAAAATGACAACGTTATTAAACAAATAAAAGAGTTGAGGCGAATCACATATTATGACCTTCACAAGTCTACTTTACACCATAATCTTGAATTAGACTTATCCATAAATTAAATTGCCTATTCAATTAAATAAACTTAGATCAATTAATATGATTCGAATTATACATATGAGGTTTTGTGGAGGATTAGGTATATTTTCAATCTTATCATCTAATTGATTCATTATAATTTTATCTACTGGGATGAGGCACTAGGTTTCTTAAGCAAGGTCAAGGGTTTGAATCCTGACGTTTGCGAATGGAACAAAATTAGGTTGGGAAGATCGCCCTCGCCTCTACAATACCCGATCTGAATTAGTTTAATAATTTTTTTATTGATAATTTATTTTCACCTTATGATAAAATTTTATGAATCTGGTATTCCACGTCCATTTCCATAAATTTTGTACTGGAGTAGACCCGTTTGTCCTTTGTATGGAGCAGTCAGGATTGCAACAGATGATAATATGGGAAAAATAAAGGCCAGTGCCAAGCTTCCACAAATTCTCAAGACAATTATTTGCTGCAGTCCCTGGAAATATCTATAGAGACAAAAAGGGGGAGGCCCGGTGGTACAATTTTATGAACGATGCTGCTGAAGATGTCTATCATCTTTACAAACAGGGGTTTCTTTAATACTTGGAAATCTCGAGTCTAATAGAGTCTAATCATGAGTTTATCAATCTACGAATACGTGTATTATTAATTTATCTATTAGAGTCAAATATATTATCTTACAATATAAGTCGTGTCAACCTATGAATAATCATTATGATATTAAATTAAACACCAATATTAAAAGTCGGTATATAAATAATCATGCATAACTGAAAAAAGAATAAAAATTCTTTTTCTCTCTTTGAATCTCGTTCTCCATGCTGAATATTATTTTCTTCGGTTCACTAAAATTATCGACTGCAATTTTCCGCTTAAATAAAAAAATATGAATTGTCAACAGCAACCAATTTTTCGTTAACAGAATTCTTTAAGCACAAATTGTTGTTGATTCCTTTTATTCCATACGTCTACTTACGAAATAAAAGTAGGCTTTGCCCTGTGGGTATTGTGATCTTTTAAGTGCTTGAGGTCTAATTGTGATTTAAGTCTCTTTATTCTATTGAAAAGTCTGAGCAACATAGGTGGATATCACCCATACGGATCCGGTGATCCTATGCCGTCTCCAATGCCGTAGGGCCCTCCTCAAGATGGTTGAGAACCGCCGACGGCAGGCGGCCAACCACCTAAAGGAATGTCATATGGCAGCTAAGCACCATTATAGATAACAAGGGCTTGCTTGCAATATGCGTTTCAATGAACCAAGCTCAAGTAACCCAAAGCTGGTATATAGTTGTCTCTATGCATCTACATAAACAAAACTAAGAAATTGTCAAAGCAGCATTAAAAAAACTACTCTTATGTGTCCCCTTGTGGCTCAACCAACCTCATCTGCAACATCAGCTTGTTGTCCTCCTGATGAATTCCCCTGTTGCCATAATCCGTCTTCCATCACTGCCGCAGCATCGCCGCTAGTCGTCTGATCCAAATCCAACAATGACCGCCTGCAAGTTGGGCACGACGAGCGTGACATCAACCATGTATCTATACACCTCACGTGAAAACCATGGTTACATTTTGGCAACTCCCTGACTTTTTCACCATCCATGAATTCTCCAAGGCAAATCGGACAATCTGTAGCCTTCAAATTCATCCCTGGACTATATACTGCCACCGGAATCCGTAGCAACGCACTTTTCTTAAGGCCCGTCGATGCGGCTAGACGTGCGGCAGCGGTCCCATCGGAGACATTGAAACCGAACCGTCTGCCACAACGCAACGCACAACGCATGATGGAGTTTAGTCCTAGAGCACATATCAATGCGCAAAGCAAAGCTGCTAGGATGATCACCATGTTGGCGTCGAAATTGGCTTCATTGGTAAAACCAGACCGTGTCCCATTTCCACCGTCCGGTTGTGTATCGAGGAGATGCCGGTGAGGCCGATGGTAAAGACTAGTCACCATTGCTATTTTAGCTTGCATCATCAGTCATCACCTACAAGAACCTATGAAAAAGAGTTGATAATAGTATTTCCACTACCCTTCTAAGAACTTTTGGTGTTCTTCTTTTTCGATCTTCTTCGGGCTCATCAGCTTTTAACCAAAGAGAGAGATATGGGTCTTTAGAGTTTGGGTTATGTGTCTGTCAGGAACTTCCAACAAAGATAAAGACGCCATTAAAAGGTATCTTCTTTGGATGATTAAAGGAAAAAGGAAAGGCTTTGATAGTACAACAAAGGGTGAGCATGCACACACAAAAAAAGAAGTTATGGCTTCCCAAAACCATAAAGATTCCATGTAAACCAGTTAAAAGCTTAGAAATATTACTTCCATCAGATCATCAGATCATCTAAAGCTAAAAGCCAAAGGAATTGAAGACATACTTATGGGATTATGAGGAAAAGAAATTTGGAGTTTCCAAGCCTTTGTTGATAAATGATTTATAGCAGAAAATAGTTGGAAATTCTTTGCTAATAGAGAGAACAATAAATATACATGGACCCGGAAAGCAATAGGGAAGGATAAGTTGGAAAGAAAAAGTATACAATGTATAGAAAATTATGCTTTTAAGTAGGGTGTGTGCTGCAGTAATTATTGAAAGTTATTTGGAATACCTTATTTTTGAAAATCTTCTGAAATATTCAGCGTTTCTTCGGGTTTCATGTATGTACAATAGTAGGGATAACATGTAGCTTTTTAGAAATCGTTAAGTGATTCAGACGTTTTAGAAGTCGTTGTATGATTCAGACGACTTTCAACAAGTACTATAGCAAATATCCTAATTGAAAAAAATAATATTCTTTACACTCTACATGAATTATTTTTTTTTCAACACATTACTGGAGTAATTTTACTGAACTATCTAGGAGATGTACATGTAGATATAGATATTTCACTTGAATTCGATGAGTTTCAATCCGATTTGGTTGGATAATTTTAATTTAAAAATGTGAATTTGGACACGATGAACAAATCTAACTCAAATAATATTATAATCATCTCTTATATATTTATGAATATTTATAATAATCATTCTTTTTATTTTATTTTTCAATTAGATCTTTAATTTTATTTAATAAATATAAAAATCTATATAGAGATCGTATTGGTGTGGATGTTGACTTAAAAATGAGGTTAAATTTTGGATCATATTAGATTTTTTAGATTAAAATTGGGTTAAATTTAAATAAAAAATTTAATTTTCGAATCAAGTTTAAATTAATCAAAAAATTTAATCTTATCTTACCCATAATCTTCCCTAATTACAGGTGTAACTCTCTTTTATTATTTATAAGAATTTTGAATAATTGTTGATAGACATGGTTTTTTTAACCAAACTCAGATATTTACATATGGGAAGAGGTGCCAAATACCAAATACTAAATGAAAAAGATGACGTGTGATGGGTGTCTTGTCATTGTAATATTACCGAGAGTGAGAGATAAAATGACACTTCACAAAGACTTGGATTATACTTTAGAAACAAACAATTAGAAAGAAAACAAAGCTGGGTAAGGAATTTCTTTTCTCTAACTCATTAAGTAATTTCAGCCGTTAAAAGAGTGTATTTTCCGCTATGTATGTATTACTAATGATTAATAAAAATTATGAATAAATTAATAATATCTTATAATCACTATATATTATTTAAATAAAGTATTTCTTCTATCATGGGATGTGAACGTGATTGGATTAAATCTTAAATTATTTATTTTAAAAGTTTAATTTAAAATTATTTTATTATTAAAAATTAAATTTTACTTAATTGATAATTTTGTTAATATAAGTGATAGATAAGGATAAAACTAGGATAAATTTATTTCACTTCAAAATTTTCAACTAAAAAATAAGAATTAAATTTCTAATTTTAAAATTAGAAGAGATCTAATAAATATGGGTAAAGTATACAGATGATCACTAGAATATTGAAATGATCTTTTTGATCACTGAAGTTTTTGAAATTATAAAATGATTATTAAACTTCCCAAACCGTTACAAAATAATCATTACATGTTATAAAATATTGATAAACTTTATAAGTTTAAGGACCATTTCCTAACAGTCGATAAGTTTTAATGACCATCCTGTAATGATTTGATAAAGTCTAATAACCATTATATATTCATTTTGGAAATTTTATTGATCATTTTGTTATTTCTAAAACTTTAGTGACTAAAAGGTCATTATATGTATTATGTAACATCCTTGAATTCTTAAACAAAAGTTTTTCTGAGTCTGGTGATTTAAGAATCATATCAAGGATTAAATATTTATTTTAACCATTGAGAAGTGTGTTTAATTCGATTAAATGATAGTTCAATTTTAGATTAAATTAAAAATTGAAATAGTGAACATTAATATGATAAAACCATATTATATTAATAAACAATATATATTACTAATTTTTCTAAAAAATATTATTTATTTACTTATTACTCCGCTTTTTTAAAACTTAAGAAAATCCTTTCATGTTTTTCACTATCCTATTTTTTCTCTAATAAATTAAAGACTTTTTTCTTTTTATATGCAATATAAATAATTAAACAATTATTAATTAAATATTAAATATATACATATATATTCTCTTTGTTTAACTTAAGTCCAAGTGTCTCCTTTATGATGGAGACATTTTATGTAGCGAAATTATAATGGAAGTGAAAGAAAAGACAAAGGCACATGGGAATCATGTGGGCAATGAGACATTTTATCTTCCAATTCCGTGACCAACTCTATTTAACATCTTATCCATTGTGCACGAAACATATTAATTAAATAATTAAAGTGATATTATTCTTAAATATTTTAGACTCGAATATCATAAACCGTAAAGGTGTTTAAATTTTCATTGTCAAACAATTAAAAATCTTTAAAACATATATATTTTTTTAATCACCCTAAATTAATAATAAAAAAATCTTATCCATCACAGACTTAGGAAACAAGAAACTACTGATTACATTATACAAGTGTAACTTAAACTTATAATTTTTTTAAATAATCTGAGATAATTATAAGGTAGTTTATATTTAAAATTCTTTAACTAATTGATAACATATATATACCTTGCAGATACAGCTGCTTCAATCTCTGACATATAGGAGAATAATATTCTTTTTTATTATTGAGGCCTCTCAATAAATTTAGTTAAATTTATAACTTAAATAATTCAAATATATTATAAAAATATAATAAATGGTTTATCTATATATATATAAGAAAAGGTTTAATTATTATATAAGTTGTAAAATAATTTATTATAATATAAATGAAGATTAGTATAATTATAATCTTAAAAATCAGAGAGATCAATAAAAATTTAAATAAAAATAATTTTTCTTTGAGATAGATAAAATATATTTAATTTTTTAAAATAAATCATGAGAGTGACTAAAGATTATAAAATAAAATAAATTTATTGCTAATTCGTGTATTGAATTTAGGGTATACAAAATTCAATTTGATTCGAAAAATTGATTCCACTTGATTTGATTAAAATATTTTAAATAAAGTATGAATAATAAAATATTAAAATTTGAACTCGTTAAGATCTTATTGGTTAAATGAGGTGTTATGCTCTTTAGAAGTCCTAAGTTTAAACAGCTATGTCCGCGAGTATGTATTATCGATGATTAAGAAAATTTCTAAACAAATATTATTTTATAATCACCTTACACTATTAAAAAAATCAAAATTTAAAATTCAACCCCTATATTTTTTTTAATAAAAGTGTCTCAATATTATTTTAGATTTGAAAATATTGCTCACTCTAGTAATTTTTATTTATTTTCATTATTAATATTGTCTTGACACCTATAAAAGAAAGAGTGATTTATTTTTAATTTTCTATATTTATAGATATTTCAATTTCATCTTTGATCTTCAAATATAAATAAATAATAGTAATTAAATTAAACAATATATATTTTTAATCATCTATGTTTATAGCTTTCAGAGATTAAATTGATAAAAAATTATAAATGTAGAAGATTAAAATATTTATTTTTATAACTCTCAAGTTGACAAATAACATTAAAATTGAGCATAAATTAGGGTGATTGACATTTTTCAAATACAATTATCATAAAAACTTAATATCATAAAAAGAAAATATGAGTAAAATTTAAATTTTAAAATAGTACAATGATCTTTTTCACATTTAAACCATTGTAAGACTAAAAGAAAATACTGTAAAGTACACAGATGGTACCTCGACTATAAGATATTATTTTATTGAGTTCAATGACTATTAAAAGTTACAAAATGGTTCCCTAACTATAGGCGTTATTTTGTTGAGTCCTACGGCTATCAAAAGTTACAAAATTGTCTCTGACTATTTATATATTTCAAACTTGGTCATTTTTTGTTAAAAAATTGATTGTCGTTGCTTTCAAACATTGACTCGATGACATAGTGTTTTAAGTATTTGCTTGACAACATAATATAAATAGAGAGTCAATCCATAAAATAAAACTCATATGTTTTTGAGATCATATTTTATCATATCTCAGCCAATAAATTTACGTCCAGCTTAGACGATCACCGGTTTTTTATCAAAAAATGATGAGTTTGAAACATATAAATAGTCAAATGACTGTTTTATATTTTTTAATATTTAAAATACTCAATAAAAATATATTTTAGAGTTGAGAGATTATTTTATAAATTTTAATAGTAAAAAGATTTAATAAAGCAACGGCGGGGACCATTTGTATACTTGACCCAACAAAATATTTATAGATTTTAAGTGCTTACGAAACGCCACCGTTTTGAAAATTTTGTTTTTCTTAGGTAAGAGCCCAAGAGCAATAAAACATTTCCAACAGTCAGCTTGCTTTCTCCTATCCTTGAGAGTTCTGAGATCTGAATCTAAAACGAAATACACTAAAAATGCAGGATCCGCCAAGTATCAAGCCAGAAGAACTTGATCCTTCCAATGCATCCTCCACCACCCAAACGCCGCCCACATTCCCCAACCCCTCCACTTTCCGAGCTTCTTCCCACAGGCGAGCCCACTCTGAGGTTCAGTTCCGGATCCCTGATGACCTCGATCTCGTATCCGATCCGTTCGAAGGAATCGGATCCGAAGAAGACTTGTTTTGTAGCTACATGGACATTGAGAAGCTTGGGGGAGGATCAAAGGGAGTCGACGATGGAGGGGGTGCTGCTGGATCTTCCAGTGCCGGATCGGGTCATAATCCTAAGGGAGATGAAATGAGTGGCGAGTCGGGGATGGGGGAGAAGAGTAATGAAGGAGGGAAAGGAAGGCATAGGTATAGTAATTCAGTTGATGGGTGTTCGCTAATGGAGTCGATTGAAGCTAAGAAAGCTATGGCTCCTGATAAGCTTGATGAATTGTGGACTGTTGACCCTAAGAGAGCTAAAAGGTTTGAGATTTACTTCTTCTTTTAGTGAATTTGTTTTTGGGTGTTGATGGAGTTATATAGGCAGCTGCAAGCTTATAACTTTTAGTGTAAAGTTTGGGTTTTTGTTTGTTTTCTATAGATTATTAAGGAAAGTTATCAGAAGAAATTAATATCTTTATGAAAGATGTTGTATTGCTAGTTTATCATTTTTTTATTTTTTGTTTTTTGTTTTTGGTTGGTTATATATATTTAAAATTTTGGCTTCTTTCTTGTTCCCTTTGTGAGGAAAATGCATTATAATTAAATTTCTGAATTCCTGTGGTCTCTTGTTTTGTACCCGGATAACATGAATGCTTCCTGAAATATTGAAGTAACCATAAATACTGAATGGAATATTCGGATTAGTTAATTATATCTGAATTTTCGTTATGGAATCCCTATCTCAAGTTGCTAAATACATTTTTTGCTTGTTCATAGGAATTTCAGCATATGAATGGGCTGTTTCACCGTCTAACGTTGTAATACTAGGTCTTGGGGGTAGGAAATATATTGTTTGCGTATCACTGAAAATTTGCTTCATAACAAATTCTTTACTAATTAATCTGATAGACTTATTCTTGACTGTAGACGTATTGATCTTGTCACTCTTTCGCCTCCTAAATGTGTTTTTTTTTTTAAATTTTTCTTCTCATAGTTTTATCTTATTCTTCTTAAAACTTGATGGTAAGTTAATCATATTTATTCTCATTCAGCTTCTTGTCCTTTTAAAGTTATTTGCTGTTTTGTCTCTATATTTCATGCAGTACTAGGATGATATAAAAATTGGCATAATTGAATATACTGGCTTGGGAATATCACTTTAACCATCAACAAAATGACTGAAGGTTATAATTTTGTTAGTCATAATTGGATTATTTCTCTGTTTCTCGCATTTTACCATTGTTGGTTTCATATAAGTTTGATTTTTTTGGGCTAATGAGCTGTTCTTTCCAAACTTTGATACATGCAATAATGGGTCTGTGAACGTCATATGATTACAGATTCTCTACTTTTGGAATGCTATAACCTTCTTTAATTCATATTTTTAAGTGTTTGAGACCCTCTAAACTAGAGTCCGTTTATTTACATATTATTGAAAAGATTTATCTTGCCTTGAATGCACAAGCATTTGGTGAGGTGGTCGGGTTAGAGCAAATGTCATCTCACTGCTCAAAACCCTCCTCAACCTTTATTTGGACTGGAATTTTTCTTCCATAGATTGACAGTTTCATGTTGTTTGGTCAGATTTGGATCTACATCCAAGTTTCTGCTAAGAATGTTCATTATTTGTGTAGGATCATTGCAAATCGGCAGTCAGCTGCTCGCTCTAAAGAGAGAAAAGCCCGATATATATCTGAACTGGAGAGAAAAGTCCAAACACTGCAAACAGAAGCGACTACTCTTTCTGCACAACTAACCCTTTTCCAGGTTTTTGCAAAACAATTCCCTTTCTCATTGCATGCCATAATGTTGGAGCTTGTTTGTGGTGACCATTTGCATTCCTTCTTCTGATAACATCAGATCTACATATTAAACAATCAATGTATGGCCGTTCTACTTTCTAATATATCAAAAGCTTTTTGCAATCATGGCTTTAGTTCTTCTTGGTTCGTTCTTTTATCGTGTACATGTTTATATATGCTTGTAACTCTTGTTAAAGGCATATGATTTTCTGAAATTGCTATTAGTTTTAGATATGTTCCGTCTTATGTTGCTTTATCTTTCTTTATTGATAATACTGGAATATTTAACAGCCTTAATTTTTTTGTGTTCTATTCTAGAGAGATACAACAGGCTTGACTACTGAGAACACTGAGCTTAAGCTTCGGCTACAAGCAATGGAACAGCAGGCTCAGCTACGGGATGGTATGTTTTGTCCAGACTATTCTGATTACCAAATTCTCTCCAATATGGCATTCTTTAAAAGCTTTTACTTAGCTTGTCTGTGGATATGTTTATTTTCTTTGCAAGTTGAGCAGTTTCATTTACCATATATAGTTAATGACAAGAAGCAAGACAAATTTGGATGGAACTGGTTGAACCCATGGATTTACATTCTAAGTGTTCTTCAAATTAATTTTAGAGCTCAATCTTTGCGTACTATTGGTGGAGATAATCAGTCATGTTTGTATCATGTAAAATAAAAATTACTGCAGAAAGTTGTAATTGCATATAGTTTTTCTCATTGTTTATTTCTGACCGTAGCTCTAAATGAAGCACTGAAGAAGGAAGTAGAGAGGCTCAAGATGGCTACCGGAGAAATGTTAACACCCACAGATAATTTTAATTTGGGAATGCACCATATGCCATTCAGCCAACCTTCTTTCTTTCCTCCCCAGCCGCGGCTAGTTGAAAGCCAGAATATGCAAATGCCACCATTTCATCCCTTGCAATCTAACATGTTGACACCTAATCAGTCTGTGGTAGCTGCCTCCAACTCACTTGCCTTTGCTGATATGATGCAACAGGATCCTCTTGGCCAACTGCAGGGGCTTGATATCAGTAGCCGAGATACGCACTTAGCGAAAGCTGAAGGCCCTTCAATATCTGCTGGTGAAAGTAGTGGAACATTATGATACAGATTTTGCTGATCTACACACCTTGCCCTGTCCTATTTGTTGGGTTGTTCATAGACTGACCTTATTGACGTCGAAAGGTACTATTCGTTTGAATTTAGAAGTTTTAATGTGATTGGGATTTTAGTTCTCTGTAGCTTTGCTAGTTCTTCAGTATTCAAGATTCTTGTGACATTCAACTCATTTTTTGGAGCAATGATGTGGGAATAGAAGTATGATACTAGGAGTAGATTAATGGAGCATCTCAAACCAGCTGCTGCCATTTCTTTTGTCTTTCAAGTATTGTTGAAACTTTAAAGTTGTATTTCCGGTGAATTTCTTCAAAAATTGTTTTTGTTTCAGTTGAAGGTGAATTCGTCTCTTTAACAATGTTCTATGATTACTTGTGAATTCGTCTCTGTGGTGATCTGTACTCGGTCCATGGATGCTAACCGTTTGGACAACAACTTAATGTTTCAAGTCTGAACACATCGGTTTTGTATGATCGAAACCTTACTTACCATCTCAATCTAATGCATGCAGTCTCCATTAAAATGCAAATGCAAGTTTGTTTTCAGTGTAGCTAGGTTATCATCATTGATTAGGAAGCTTGCTCTGCAGGAGGATAGCTGATTTTGACTTTACTGCAACAAGGCACCAAGGGTCCATTATTCTACCAATTTTACATCCTTTAAAGCACTTCCCCCTCTCAATATCCACTGTTTCATGAAAGCAAATTGGTGACCAAAACAAATACATAATAAAGCACAACATTTCCCATCAAATGGGATATTGCCCTTAAAATGTCATTCCACTGTCTGCTCATAATTTAAGGACTAATTTAAAATGAAAATTATAGTTTGGTGACATATTGATGCAATTTAACTCAAATAAAATCTATAACATGTTTTGTTTCATTGAAACATATTTTGAAAATTGTTTTCCGGACAATTTATAAAACAATATAAAGTGATTTACATTGTATCGTTCAAACACCATAAAATGAAATTTAAAATTTGTTTTCCATAATTCATTTTCTGGAAACTGTTTCTTTTAGGTTTTGATTTTGATTTCAAGTTTCAACCCTGAATCGAGGATGCAGAACCCTCTTCTGTAACTGCTTGAGACGTTCACGCCTCCCCTTCGCTGCCGTAGGAAGAATAGTCTCCAACATGATCACTATCACTATCCCTCTCCTTCAACTCTTCAATCTTCTCCAAAGCCTCTTTCAGTTCCCATCTCCTCTCAACATTCCATTCACAGCAACACATTCCAATCTTCAACAGCTTCAGCATCTCGCCTTCCCCGTTTTTTGTTCCGTTCATGTCCTTGTCGAATACCTCGCCGGTCCATTCTTCTCGCACGACCGAGTTCACCCACGTAGCCAAATCCGCATTGCTTGCTTTGCCCTGTGTCAAGTAGTTGGCCGGGAACTTACCTGTTAGTAGTTCAAGGATGAGTATTCCGAGGCTCCATACGTCGGTCTTCCGTGTCGTTCGGTCGTATTGGGAGAATTCGGGTGATTTGTATGCCACCATGAATTGTTGGGCTTGTTGTTTGTTGACGACGGCGGTTAGGCCGTAGTCCGATATAAGGGGGTCAAATGTATGGTTTAAGAGCACATTGGAGGATTTGAGATGGCCATGGGGTAGTGTGAGGTTGGAGAGTTGGTTGTAAAGGTAAGCCAAACCCTTTGCTACTCCTTTGATGACCTTCAATCTAGTTGGCCAATCAAGCCCTGCTTGTCCTGGACCACGCCTAGCTGACCAAATTAATCAAACCAATATTTATTATGATTATTGAAAGGGGCGAAGTAAGAACTTTATCTTGGAGTTAAAAGTAAATTATAATTTTTAAGGGTTAAAAATATAATTTTATCGTTACTTTAACTTATAACTTTATAAATTTTAAAAGAAGTAAAATAAAAATTTATCATTAAGGAGACCAAAATGCAATTTCATCATCATCTTAACTTAAAACTTTATATATTAAAGGGACTAAAATCAAATTTTACCATTTTAAAAATTAATTTAAGCTAAAAAAATAAAATGAAATCCAAGTGTTGTGGAGAAGGGAGAGAACTTACAATGAAGATGAGTAGCCAGGCTTCCATTGGGAGCAAAATCAGAGACCAAAAGCTTCTCTTCTCTTCTATAATAGAACGCCACAAGGGGAAGCACGTTAGGGTGGTGCAATCTTCCTAGTCTAGCCATGTGCTCAACAAACTCCTCTTTCCCCACATTATTCATTTGCTTGAATCTCTTCACCACCATGGCTCGCCCGTTCGAAACCACAGCTTTGTAAGTCGACCCAAAGCTCCCTCCTCCGAGTACCTCAGCCGAGGCCCGGAGCAAGTCCTGCAACTCGAACCTCTCCCTTTTGTTCCTCACGAAATGCAGCTTCATATTTTCGTCTGATTTTTTGTAATAATTGGCTGATTTGTCTTCACTGATGTTCCCCAATTTTACGTTGTTTTCTGGTTTTTTGAATTGGGATGCTATGGTTGGATCTTCGAGGATGTAGGAAACGGCTGCGATGAGAGCTAAGACGACCAATGAGCCGCTTACCACGATGATTATTATGATGGTTCGCTTCTTTCTTGAGGATTTGCATTGGGCCAGTGGTTTTCCGCATAGGTTGTTTCCTGCTCCATGCACAAAATATATTAGTAAGGATTTAAATTGCGTTTAGGGTCGCGTTTTCGATTTTATTGTGTTTATCGTTATTATACACATAACATGTTATTGATGTCATTACAAGTATAACAATCATGCAATAACGGTTTTAGACAACACCACTACCGCTATATAACAATCGTTATTCCGATAACAAACAACTATTTAAATATCTGATGAGTAAAGCAAGTAAAAATACAAATTCGAATAATAAATGAGTTTTGTTGGTCGTAAAATTTGGTTATAACGGTTGTGGTAATTCGTTTCTTTTGATTTGAACGAAAAGTCGTAGTCTGTAGTTATATCAAGATGTTGAGTTGAAGTCATAATACTAGACAGAAAGAGAGATTTATGTTTTCTCAATCTCGCACAAGGGATTTATATAATATCCCCTAGTGTTAGTGTTAAGTTTAGGGTCATAATTGTTAATTATAGGTTTACATAGTGAACAAATACAATCGTCTAACAGTAGTTATAACTCTGACAAATCATATAAGCCTATCAGAGATCATTTCGAAGGATATTGACTAATCGAAGGTTGTAGATCACCAGAAGCTTTGATCAGGGGAGGAATTTCTCCTAAGATTTTTCATCTAGATATGAAAGAGTGACAACGAAACACAACCTACTGAAGAATTTTGAAAGAGATGTAAAACAAGTTTAATTTTAAATTTTTATGTTAACGTGTTACTATCTTATTCCTATATTATACATAGAATTATACTTCCTCCATTCATCAAATGTTTATCTTTAATTATATATTCATACCTGCAAAAAAGTTCGGGTTCATGTTGCTCAATCTATATGGTATCGGACCATCGAGGTTGTTATGAGCTAGATTAACAAATTTCAAATTATCCTGTTGGAAATCCGGTATCCGCCCTTCAAAATGATTCCACTCAAGGCTCAACTGCAACAATTTCGGCAATGTCGCCAACGATCCCGGAATCGGACCGGATAAGTTATTCCATCCGAGAAAAAACTTTTGCAATGCGTTCATGCCCGCAAAACCGTCGTCACGTATCTCACCGGAGAAACTATTGTTTGCCAAATATAAGACTCTCAAACAAACAAGCTTGTTCACTTGAGGGAATGGACCAACGAAGCTGTTGTTCATAAAGCTCAGGGTACGCAAAAGTGGCAACCCCATTAGTGTGTCTATGTCGATTGCACCCTTTAGACCCATATTTTCGAGCTTCAGCCCAAAGACCGAACCGTTGCTGCAGCGTACGCCGGTCCAGTTCGTATTGTCACCGGTGCATGGACCTGGACCCGAGGCATTCCAATCGTCTAGCTGAGAGCCGTAATTGGCTAAAGAGGTTTTGAACTCGAGTAGTATCTCGGCCTCCGTTTGTCCCCATGATGGTCCTATGATGCATGTCAATGTGACAAGCAATGGGAACAAAAAATAACATGGTTTACTATGGTCCATTTTGTGAGGAGTGAATGGTTTTAGGTTTGATTATTGGTGGTTTAAACAATTCGATGGGGGCTTTGGAGAAAATGATATGATGATGGGAAGGGACAAAAGGACATTGTGGGCGGGTTTGACAAAGCAAGTTCAATTAATTATTTGTATGTATGTACATGTGTACGTATGTATATATGTAGGGATGGATTTATGTTATAAGTGGGAGGAGCAATAGTCCCCAAATTTTGGCGGTCTAATTATCCCTTAACCTACTAGTAATTTTGAAACAATTACAAGAAACCCTTGTTCCTCTAAAATTTTCTGGTATAATTATTTTTTAGGATACTATCAGATTTAAATTAATTGAACTAAGCGTTAATCCTAGATATATATGGTTTAATTACATTTTAAGACCTTCAAATTTTAAAATTAATGAAATTAAACCTGTAATCTCTTAATTTTTATAGTTTAATTTCTTTTCAAAATATTATTTATTATAACTTTTCCTCTCATAGTCCAATCCTAACTTTGTCACTGTATATATGTCCGGGAATAACTAATAAGCGTGGACATGCAATTGGTTTAAGAAGCATTAAGTATCTGAATTAAACACTGTCTTCTAAGTTGATGGGAATCTCCAGTTGTACATAGGCGAAACTTTTAAAATAATCGGCAAGAACGAGGCTAGCTAATGGGATTTTCGATCATAATTTGGATTCTTGTCTCCCCCCACGGTTTTGATTTGTGGGAAATGGAATTTCGGTTTTAACTAAATACCGCAATTTAATTTCATTGGAAAAAAATACTTCATAACCTTAAAATCTGAGTTGTGAATGTTGAATATAATTTATTTCTTTTGATTTGGACGAAATATCATAACTGACAATATTATAACAAATGATAAGTTGGAAATAGTGAGTTTTATGTTTAGGGGAGAGAAAATAGAGTGTTTTCATCTCAATTTTGTACGAGAATATGTATATCGACCCTAAATATTTGTGTCATAAAGTCATGATAATTAGTCCCGGATTAGTAAGACAAATGAATGTTATTGCATAACAATAGATTTTGTTCCGGTATATTATGTGGTCCTGACAAAACCAACATAAACTCTATTTATTTTTTTTATTAAGCTCTCGATCAAATTTTCACGTCGCACAATAATATTTTTAAATAAATTTTCACAATCATACCAATTTATTTTAAATGTATTTTTATATGAATTACGTTTGACTTGAAAAATGGACTGATTAAATAAAGGAGCAGTCGCCCAAAATAGTACGTATAATTTCGTCCCTAATTAAAAGTAATCATATGAACATACGAAGAAAAGCGAAACACTTGTGACCACTGAGCAAAAGAAAATGCTAGATGAAGTTTTGTAATACGATGTTAAACATGATTATGCTTCCTTGGTTATATATTAAGATTGTCTAGTAATTCCACCACTCGTAAAAGAAATCGCAAAATTATTCACTCCGTGGATGGGTAATTTGGATATCAAGCTATCAGAGGATTTTCTGAAATTTTAGGAGGACATTTCAATTAATGGTAACATTTAAATTGTAATGATAGTAGGTGATTTATTTATTTTTTATTTGAGTAGAAATCCGTAGTCGATAATTAGATGATAGTTGATTGGTGTTTGAATCTTCCATTCTCATGAAGAAGGAGCAGAGAAAAAGTAGAGGCGGTGATTATGGACTTCTCTATTAGTCTTGGTTGATAAGTTTCGTAGTAACCACCCTTGATGCTGGTGTCAAGCATAGGATTACGATAATTACTCGTAGATTGACAGACGTAATAAGTACGATTGACTAACGATAGGTTTAGTTCTAACAGATCACACGCATCTAATAGATGTCATGTCAAGATGGGGACAAACATATAATTTTATAGTAGGAGGATGAACTTCTAAAAATTTTAGGAAGGGATGGACTTATAAAATTATTGGAGAAAAATATATATTAAAAAAAATCTAAAATATATGATAATTTAAAATTTTTAGGAGAGAGGATATCCCAATCAATCTCCTTCAATCTACTCCATGTTTACTAAGGAGTATACAAGACTCTATGTTGGAAAATATTCTTTTGGGATCTCTACTGTGAAGAAATTCTTTTTATAATCACTAATATATGAAGATTAATCTGGCGGAAGAGATATAAATATAATTATTGATTAATGATTATCAAAGTGTGTATGCTAGGCATTAATAAGCGCATAATGCTTTTGTATAGAATATTCTTGTTCTGAAATGACAACTACTTGGAAAAATATTAACAAAACAAAAAGCTAAATGAAGAAAACTATGAAATCTGGAGTATAGAAATCCAGTATGTATTAGACAAGCAAGAGGTTCATGAGGTTTCCAACAATGTTTTGGAAGAGCATTAAAATATGACAACGTAGAAGGGATATATATATAAGAACATAATTTTATATTAGGGGAAGAATTTATAAAATTAAAAAAAAATATTCAAAAAAAATTAAAACATAAAATTTTTGAAAATCTCAGGGGCTCCATCCTTGAACATAGAGGCTTTCGAAGCTTAAAAGATGGAAAATTTCACTCGACGATGATATCGTGGCAATGTTTAGAAAGTAATAGATAATAGGATAAAATACACAAATCGTTTATGTATTATAGTACGTTGATTTATTAAGTTTTTCGACTATTAAAAGTTATAAAATAATTCTCTGATTATAAGACGTTTTATTGAATCCCGACTATTAAAAGTTACGAATCGGTCACCCAACTATTTGTATGTTCCAAACTCAAAGATGATGTTGAATTCCTAGGGACAAAGATGATGTTGAATTCCAAAGTGGGCAGTACTTCTCAAATATAGTCAGAGCTGTTGTGTAACAGATGATTTCACGTCATTTTGGAGACGCCATAGCTGACAGATTATTCATCAAGTATGCCACAATCATCGAAGAGCATCTTCGAGATGAAAACAAGGGGAAGCTGGTTAACTTTCTAATTTCAATCACAAAGAAGTAAATCTCCATGCAAGAGATTGTACAGTAATTTTAAATATAATAACGTATAACTAGTTTAATATTTATCAGAATTTCGAAATACTATTAGATAACATCAAATCTATATATTTGAAAGGAAATCGTTTAATGGATACAAATTGAATGGCCCTTTAATCACTTCTTTGTCAATGAAACGACAATGTTAGCATGCTTGTAAGTCATTCCAAGATTCAGAGCATCTGCTGTATAAGCTGCAAGCCTCATGAATAGCTTGTCAATTATGGCTTCTCCAAAATGACTGCATATTATGGGTTCTAAAACAGCTCTTGCACTATTTGCAAAAAAATTTCCAATCTCAATACAATCTTTGTTGCATAGAAGCTGTCTGAGTAATGGATCCTTGTCCACTTCGAAAACTTGTAGGGTGTTGATTTCGAACGGCCCTTCTCTCTTAATAATCTCAGCGATTTCTTCTTTGCAAGGTGAATATAAAGGAAGGTTGAATGAATCCACATCTTCCTCTTTTACAACTCCCTACAATTCATAACAAAGCTAATTTATAGCAATTGAATGATACAAAATGGAAACAAATATAGGAATATGTATAACCTGTGCAACCAAGTCAAGTAGGGATTTAGCAGCAAATTGCTCCAAACCATAATCTTCCTTGGAGGGCTCTGGGGTTTCCCTAGCATTACAGGTTAGCACCATACGCCCTTGTGGTATTATTTCTTTGGAACGTAAGCTTAGAAAATTTGTAAAGTCTTTCAGAAATTAGTTCGCATAATCTTCGATAACATTGGGAGGACTTGATCTTGTCATGCCTATGTTCCTCTTGTTGTTCTCCAATCCAACAGGGACCTAACCACGTGCATGCTCATAATTAATCAGGGGAAACACAAAAAAACAGGTATCCAAGATAAAGGGTATGTACTTTTCACCAAATGACTGACCTTTGAGAGCCAATGAATCCCATAGGAAGAGTGTACAAACTGGAGGCTTCTGGTTGGAAATTGTCTTTGATAGAAAGAACCCGCAAGCTGCAACTCCTCCTATAAAACAACTTTCCTGCACCATTTCTCCTTTCTCTTTCTTCAGCATCTCAATGAAATCAGGAACCAACTTAAACACAGAGTTGAAATCATTCTCCGGGGTATCATTTAGAAGAACTTCAAACTCAGGTAATTTCAACTGTTCTCGCTTACGTATCCCATGGACAGTATTAACAACTATAGATATTGTGTAGAAGGTGTTAGGGCCAGAAGAGCAACCCAAATCTGCCACCTTCATGCAAGATGGAACAATTTTCTTGAACGTATCTGTGATGGATTCTTCAATGATTGGTCTGATCTTAGATATTACTGCTTGCTGAAAGCGCAAAGAAGAAGTTATTAGTGTGATAAGCGTTGAATAAAGAAAGGAACATATGTAATGAAGAATTTAAGTGATAATATTGAAAAACAGACTTGAATAAATGAATTATTTACATAGCTAATTTCATGATCTGCTGCGTTCATGGAAAGATGCTTTTCTGATGCCATTTTGCTTAATTACTTTCTTTACAAACCGTATGTAAAACAACATTTGTTCATCCTTATATAGCTATAAAATTCTTCATCTAAAGCTTTGAACAAGTCAATCATTAATGTCATATATATAGCGTAACAAGTCAATAATGCCAGCACTTTGCCAGCATTTTCTACAAGAATTTAACATTAATTCGTAGACGGTACGGTACTTTCACTAGGGTCACAATAATGAAGCCCCAACCACTGACAATAATGGAGGCTGCTGGTGGAGGCTTCTTCGTGATAGTGATGGTCAATGACCAGTATGTTTTCACCGGAACATTGGACGGTGCTCGGTCATACATGCCGAGTTCTGGGCAGTGTTGGATGGCCTCTAATAAGAACCCAGTTTAACTTTTTGAAGCAGCGATCACTCGTAGAGTTAGAAAGTTCCTCCAACTCCAACGGTCTATCAAGATTAAGCATGTTCGGCGCGAAAAGAAAAGGAGTGAGCAAGATATTATTATTATTTTATTATTAGCTGAGTTTCTTATTAGATCTCAAATCATATGGTTTCAACGTGTTTTCTACGTAAATATCATATCATAAAACACGTTATTTGTGAATGCTTTGCATCCTTATGTCTTTGTTATTCAAAAGTCTTGGTTGAAAAGTGGCGAAGAAAATGTAGTATTTTAACATTAACATGTGTGTAGTATTTTAAACCAATTTATTGACGAAAATGTTTATAGCCACATCGGTCAAGAGATAAATGCACGCATATTGTGTACCAATTGGAAAACTTGACGAAGTCGGGCAGCATGTTTTTGCTTAAATAAATAATGGCGTTGAGATATAAAAAAAAATTGCTCGATAAAATATTTTATTTACAATAAAAATAAACCTCGTTATGAGCTTCATTATAAACTTCCCTAATCCTATATGAAAAAAAAGTCACACAAGAAGGGAATATTACAACACTGCTACAGAAAACTCTTGAAACAAATATCAACTCTAGACAAACACTACTTCAGTAACATGATACAGGAACAAGACTCCTACTACCGAAACTTAACCAAACTAACTACCACCACGCTTTGAAAATCTCGTATCTTTTCATGCCTTCCTTTGCGAGATGATCGTCCATTCCATTATGGAATCCAGGTGCATAGAAGAATTGCACCGACGTTCTCTATTTCGACGATCTGTCAATCTCATCCAATATATGTCACCATTTTCACGGCCTCAGTAGTGGATGATCGATCCAATTCAGTACCACCTGACAGTCCAAATCGAAAAGAAGATTCGCTTTGGCAATCCAACCAGCTTCTTTGAACACTTTCAGAGCTGTGTTACAACCGTTGATATTGTTCTTTAGGATTGTTTTGCTTGGGTAGTTATTGTTCTTCTGGATTGTTTTGCTTCGGTAGCTGGAGAGACGATATGAGCTGCAGTTTTCTTATTAATAAATTTCGCCGGCGCTTAAGTTTCAAAATTATGAAGGTTTAATCAAGTGGAAATTCAAAAAATACTTATTAATATAAAGTTAAAAATGACAAAAATCGATTGCAAAACTTATCAAATACGCAACTTTTCAGATAGAACAAAGTATAATATTTTCAATTGCAAGTCCTAAACTCTCCACAATACAACTTTTCGGTTGTACCACTAATCAAGAACTATTGTTTACCATTGAAAATTATGAACTTCTAATCAAGATTCGAAAACACAAAATGTGTCCCGGAATGGGCACGGCTACAGAAATCTCCTAACCTTTTTTTCTTCCCACTCTAATGTGGAAGAAGCATTTAGCAGATGCTGCAACTCGATTGACTGTGAAACATGCAGCTAACATAACAGGTAACAAGAATCTTCTTTCATTCAAGGTTGAAACAAGATAACAGCTACTATGCATCATGTAAACTGTGAGAATTAGGTGTCTTTATCTTTTGATAAACTCCGGTGGATTCGGTTTGTCACACTATCATCTACGATCTTATACTGCTGGGAAAACTTCCGGTGGATCATTCTAAAGTATTTGTTCATATGCTCTTCATATTTACTGTAGAAGACCGGAAGTGTAACCGATAGGATGGTTCCTGCCATTGGAAATGACAAATATATTACATTCAAATGAGTATATAATTAAGACTCATTATACATAAGGCGAGAAAGTTTGTCGACAACATGCCTCCCTTCTGGCAATTAATTAGTGAAAAAGAAAGGCACAAATAAACTAAAGATCCCATGAGGTCATGTAAGCTTAGAGCCTAATAAGGTTGTGACAAGAGCTTGATATCAGGTTTTTGACATTTTAACAAAACAAACAATAATAATTAATTATGCCGATAAATCAAAATAGAGATGAATGTGCATTCAGTAGATAGATGGAATTGCTTACCGATATAGGCAAGTGTGAAGAAAGAGCAATAGCTACCAATGGCAGACAAGAGCCACAGACAAGTCACCACCTGCCAAATGAACCAAGTTCGAAAACTTTTTCAAGCAACAGAAACGATAGAAGCTTGTAGACCAGAACAGGTCAAGTGAGATAGCAAAAATGGAGATGAACTCAGGACATTATACAAATACCATGAAGGTCCATTGATATGAAGAAAATAGAGGCCTAATGCAAAGTATTAACACAACCTCTTGGTAATAAACATGAAAGGTTAGAATGAAGATGATTGCTTGCTGGAAGAGCAGTTTGTAAGCAATATCAACTTTTTCAGAGAAAATGGGGTTTAAGTATGAAATCATATTTAAATTGGCAGGCTTCATTGATCAACCTTGTTTAGGAGAAGACAACAGAGGGAAAGGGAGACTACACATTCTTAATTGATCGATTTGTTAAAAAGTAGGAAAATACTCAACTCCAAAAAATTATGAAATTTTGGCCCAGAAAGGGTGGAGTTTGGGGGTTAACTGGAAGGTAAGCAGAATGAGCAAAACCACTAATCTTGCTTCCCTAACTTGCAGACACCCCAGATTCTAATGGCTACTTTTACTAATTATAGTAAAAAAAATTAACATCAACTTAATCATAGTTCCAGCAACAATACCATAATGTCTACACATACAGTTCTGTTTCAAAGTAAATTCTAATTTTGTTCTTGTCGGTGTATATTGCAGCACAGAATATTAAGTACAGCTGATCTAACTGACCTTGAAAAAAAGCCGAAAATCTTTGCCAAGAGTTATTTCATGAGCCATAAGAAGCACATTATTGATTTTAACACGAAATGACACTGCAGCATTGTTAACCATTTCCTCTGACAATTCAAGTTCTGGTAATGTTTGTGGTTGTCTGCTCAAATAATATATCAACTTCATTATCAAATCCACTTCAGTATTTAAAAGGAAATCAACACATAGAAAAGCAATATTAGTATTACCTATCTCTGTAAGCAGCATAGTTGGAACGGACAAACAACACTACAATTAAGATCAGCAAAACATCTGAACAAACAGATAAGAATGGTAATCCAGACCGCTCAAAGATGAGCCAGACAACGGTAGCAACAACAATGACACCAAGGGAAACACTCCACTGCTTCCACAAGAGTATATCAGCCGCTAGGAACATGAGAAGCAAAATTAGTTCATTTATCACATAAAGCAAATACAATGGAATAAATTACAAGGGTCACAAGACAATGAGCCAGAGCATGAAAATAATCTTACAGAAATAATACCATACTACACAACAGGATCTTTCCAACATCACATTATTTAGCAATTATATTAAAAGAATGTTGGTGGGGAACTGTTAAAAGCCACAAAACTTCACACAAAAATAGAATAAATAAATCTGAAGATAGATATTGAATGAACACAGGCAAAAGGACACTCGGTTTCCAAGGATTGTCTCCCTTCAGGAAAAGTCAATTCAGCTTTTATATGTGTCAATCCACAATTTGGAGCAAACAACTAAAGAAGAATACCAAGTTTGTTTCTCCTCTACCAAGAGACCCCATGATAATGCTTCAAGAGAGAGAGATAAAAGGAGGATATTCCAAGGATTCAAGTTGCAGAAACAAATAAACAACTGGACCATTGCAAAACAAAAGCAAGTTTGCTTCATCATTTGTTGTAAGAAAAAAATTCAACATGCCAAGAGGGAGATTTTTTTATTATTGGCTAGAAATTTCTTCTGTATTGGCGCATGAAAATCTTAATAATGCATCAAATTGATCCACACACTTCCCTATAAACTCTATGCATGGGTTGCCTTTATATTCTTTTGCTTACTCACTCAGCTCTCTCCCTTATTTTAGCCTATCAGCTAGGTTCATGAACCATGTAAAAACAACTAGATTTTTGAAAAACAATAGCAAATTATCTTCATCATTCTGTTGTAAGAAGAAAAAAAATATCACAATGGAGATTTGCTGATTGGTTGCTAGAAATTTCTTTCCATGCACTGAATTGGAGCATGCAAATCTTCTTACTGCGCCAAATTGTAGAATGAAACATTCTGACTATGCTTATGGCAATTTTCGATGCATAGTCAAACGGTGATTTCAGTCCACATAGGCATGCACCAAATTGATCAGCACACATCCCCAATAAACTCTCTGCATGAACTTCCTTTATTTATTTATTATTTTTTTTGCTTAGTCACTCAGTTCATTCCCATGTTTTAGCTTATCTGCTTGGTTCATGAACCATGTACATCCCTGCATGCCATCAGAATTCTCCACTTCTTGTAGATATCGCATTGGCCACAATCATGATAATCCCTATAAGTTTCTTAGCTTCATAAACAAAACTTTAATACTAAATTGTTGTAAAATATAGCCCAAAGACGGAACTAAAATAAACCATTTGATAAGTAAAAGATGAAATGGCAAGATAAATCAACTAGGCACACAAGGTTTTATGTAATTAGGCTGAATAGTATATGTCCAGCATCAAGTAGAAATGAGGGAGAAACAGAGTAAGTGAAGTAAAGAATAAAGTAAGTGCAAATGACATTTTGAGTATAAGGGTTGAGTGAGTACTTCAAGTGGTCTTCATAAACTATCTACTTTTAGTGAAATTTCTCTTGATCAAATTGGCCCGAGGAGAAATTTGACTGATATGAGTGATCTATCAAGACCACAAGAAAAACTCACACTACCCTTATACCCAAAATCTCACCATGAACTTCATTTATTTTACTCAACTAAGTATCTCTTGATTTGTTTCTAGATACAGCTTGATTTCAAAAGTTCACAAGAGTCGAGTATTTATAGGGAATGTAAGCAGATCGATTCAGCACCTAAAATTGTCAAGAGCATTGTCAAAGAGCAACAACTCGGTGCATTATCAAGATTCACAATTCAATACATGAAGAATTTCAATCCAGCAATCAACAAATTTCCACTTCGGCAACATAACTTCTTTATTTCAAACCAAATTATAGCAAAAAGTCTGTCCCAATTATGGGATTCGGCTATTTTTTACAATCCAAATAGATAACTAAAACAAAGTAGAACAGTAGTAAAGAGAAGAAAACCCAATTAGATTGTAAGCTGCATATCATTTTGCCTATCCACTATGAACAAATGGATAACTATTACCAGGGATGGACCGAGAGGAGCGGCTGAGGCAGTCGCCTCTAAAAATTTCACATTATCATATATTTTAGATATTTTCTTTCTATTTTATATCGATAATTTGTTTTCATCCCTATACTTTTATAAGTTCGCTTCACTCTAAAATTTAAAAGTTAGGCACCTAACATAAAATCTAAGTCTGTCCAGACACCTACAAATAATGAGATCTTCCCAAAAGGGAGTAACTTTTTTTTCTTTGCCAAGCAATGTTTATTTTTTTTCATCAAAATCAAAGTGTCCCAAGAATCAACTAAGTTGATTTCATTAAAAACACTAGCAAACACAAGTGAAAATGGAAAATAAAACAAAAGCTTTTTTTTCTCTTTTGTTGAATTTCATTTTTTTTACCTTTACCACCACCCAGAGACTGGTGAATAGAACCTTGACGACTAAACAAACGATAATCATCGGATGATGATGTTGAATAAGTTGAAGGTATTGTCTGATTTCTGATCTCTTCCCCATCACTGTTACTCGATTTCTCCATTAATTGTGATCGACGTCCTTTTCTTCAACCTTTAACTTGTACCCAGAGCGAAGAAATTTCACAAAATCGAATCTTGCACCGACTTTTCCCTCTTTGAAACTAAATTCCTGTGTCCCCGATCTGTCACTTAATTGACAAACAAACTGCAAAAGAAAATTTGATTTTTTTTTCTTTCTTTCCTATCGATTTAATTTTTTTTTCAATTTCTACGAAATGAAATTGAAATGTATCCGGCTTAATTAAAAGAGTTAACTACACGGAAGGTCCCTTATATTTTTGGTTCATCCAATTTCGTTTACCAGTTTAAAAATTAAATGATTTTGGTCATTTCATTATTGATCCGTTCAATTTTAGTCCATCGACCATTAACTATTATTAACGAAATATGAGTTGATAATTAAAATTTAATATAATTCACATGTCTTCTTATAATTATTATTCAACTTGTTCATCATGGAAGAACTTTTATTTTGTAATGATAATAAATTTATTGTCGTCGTTGTCCTAGAATTGAAGATTAAAATCAATCAATCAGACAATAAATATAGGAAGTTGTAAAAACTAAGACGATAGTAGAACAGCGAAAAAGAAAAGCTAGAGAACGTTGGTGTAAAGATCTTTGGACTCATCATCGTCTTCCATGAGTATAATGGAAAATTATAAGTTTTGATGTTTTTTTTAAATGATAATTTTAATGTTGTATGGCAACGAGAAGAATTTTATAATAAAATGATAGAGAATTGAGGACTTAAAGAAAGAGAAAGCATGATGAAGAAAACAGACAACAAAATTGCCAAATAGCAACTGACGGGCCAAATAAACTTTCCATAACCCACATTAATGACGGTTAAATTTTGTCATTAATTTGTTATAAATTAATAATGTTAAATGATTAATTCATTTATTTTGAAACTTTTGTGAGAAAAAATAAAAATATATTCAAATATTAGTAATCAATTGTGTAATTTTCCCTCAGAAATAACATATCATAAAGTAAGTCTAAGGGTTATTTGTTTATTTCAGAAAGCATTATTTTGCTAAATCAGATGTGCGAAACAAACTCGTTGAATGTTAATAATTCAATATTCAACGTTTAATAACTCCGTTAAGAGACAAACAAAGAGGCCCTAAATCTGATTGAGAGTTGAACGGACCACAATGGGCCTCTATTTCCGTACATCAAAAAGTGAGATATTAACAAAATATATTTGACAAAAAGCTTAATTAAGACAATGATTTTATCACACAAAGCAAGCATGCATCCATCTTACAAATTTATACCCAGCAAATCAATATTCAAGTTCATCAAATCCAGATTTTCCAAGAACAATTTCTTCATCAAAACACCCGTGGCTTTGCAACAATAGTTGAATGCTTCAGAATGTGCAAGCTGAACTGTCCTCCTTTCTCCGTTGTGTCGAGCTTCGACTGTCCCTTGGGAGGCAACAGCTCAAAGTTCTGCACCAAACGTCCCAACGTGATCCCTAGGATCGGCAGTGCGAGAATTATCCCCGGGCAGCTCCGTCTTCCAACACCAAATGGAAGATACCTGAAGTCGTTCCCATTCGCTTCGACCTTCGATTCCTCCTCAAAGAACCTCTCGGGCCTGAACTCTTCAGGGTTCTTCCAATGTGCAGGGTTATTGGCTAACCACCAAGCGTTCACGAGGATCTTGCTCTCGGCGGGGATGTCGTACCCCGCGAGCTTCGCATCGTGGAGGTTCATGTGTGGAACCAATAGAGGGATGGCCATTCGGAGCCTGAGAGTCTCCTTGATCACCGCCTGCAGATACGGAAGCTTAAGTGTGTCGGGTTCGGTAACCTGCACCCCGGGTCCTAGTATGGTGTCAATCTCGTTGCGGAGCTTCTGCTGGATCTCGGGATGGTTAACAAGCTCAGCAATGCCCCATTCAATTGACCATAAGGTTGTTTCAATGGCTGCATCACAATGAGATTGCTTGAGTTCATAGACTTGGTAAAATTGTGACCACAATGATTATTATTGCTGAGAGTTGAAACCAATTTGCCTTAACAAATTCAATTCTAAATCACACTTGAAGTTTCAAAGTTGTACAAAAGCTTGAAGGAAGATGTTATTATCATCTAAAGTAACCCAATGAAAAATTCCCATTTGTGTATTTGGCCAAATTGGGTTTTCATAATATTTTAGGTACCCAAAAGTCTTGGTGAGTTGGTATTTGGCAACAAGTTGACCTTTCAGCTGCATCACTTGAATTCTAGCTCAACTTTCAAACATGAAGGCAAGAAAAATACCCAAAATTTTTTTTATTCACTATCCAAATTACTTCTCAATCATAAATCAGAAGATGTTAAACATTGTTGAAACATATGTATTCCTATATGTTGTAACAATAACGATGTCAATCAAACTAATATTCGATTAAAACTTAAGCCATATGGTCCAAAAAAGAAAGCAGGGTTCTTACCAGCAACATTGATGTTCTCAACAATGTAAAGAACATTGTCTTCATTGATCTCTCCCTTCTGTTGAGCATCAAGAATGTGATCAATGGCACATTTTAGAGCATTGCTGTCACTTCTCTTTGTGCTTGCAAGCTTCCTGCAGAGATTTACAATCCTCATATACCTCAATTAAGTACTAGATTTGAATAGAATGGGAGAGTCCATCTTATATTGGGGTTCTGTAATATCTTGAAGATTAGTCTATTAATATATCAAATATGGATGGTTGAAAAAAAAAACTTACTTCCTCTCCTCTAGGAAATAGTCCTTGAAAAGCTGCAATCTCATCTCCTTTACCTCCTTGCACAACTTCAAGTACCCTCTCAAGAAAGGCCTCAAAATGGGGATAAAATCACCATAGTTGTACTCAAAGCTCTGTGCCAATCTACTCCTCTCTCCATTCAAGGCCTTGAGTTTAACAAACAAAGGGTCGTCCTCGCTCTCGAACCTCCTATCGAACATGATCCTGTACATGTTATTGTACATCATAAGTTGCAATCTCTTCCTCAGAACAATCCCATTGGTCGCCGCCTCCGGGTTATTTCTTACATCTTCCACGACACTGGCAGCCTCGGCCTCCCATCCATGTCGGTACTGTTGGACGACCTTGTTGGTGAAGAAAGGAACGGTCATGATCCTCCTCATCTTCCGCCAGTGCTCACCGTAGACGGTGAACACCATGTCCTGTCCTTTGCCGGTAAAGATGTCGAACACGACGTTCCTCGTCCTGGAACCGAACTCGACACCCTGGGTGTGCAGGACTTCCTTGGCCAGCTCCGGGGAAGAGATGACGACGAGGTTACGTTGTCCCATTCGAAGCAAGAGGATGTCTCCGAACTTCTTGGCCAAGTCGGTGAGGTTGCGGTGGTTCAAGTCATCGCCGACTTGGAGCCAGTTGCCGAAGATGGGGACTGGGAGAGGACCGGGGGGGAGCTTGTAACGCTTGCCGCGAAGTTTGGCAACTAAGATGGCGAAGATTATGGTGAAGAAGAGGGAGATGAGAACTTTCTCGATGAGGAGAAGGTCCATGGTTATGGAGTTTTTATCGGTTTAAGTATTCGGGGCTATGTGTGAACTGGAGGAGCGGTGGAGTTTTATAGAGGATCAAGGTTAGGTTGACGATGTGGTTAATTGGTTTGCAGGGTTTGGTGGGAATGGAGAGTGGTGGAATGGAGAGTGGTGGAAGTGAGATGGGTGGGTTGGTTGAGTTGGCAGGTAAGGGAAAAGATAGACGTCTCTCTATTTTGTGTTTAATAATAAATTGACGTGTATGAATTAAATGATCACTGTAGTGAGGGAGATTATTGTTATTTTTAAAAATTCAGTATAATATTTATAAGATTTATTATTTTTACTATTAAATGGTTGAAAATTTTTCAAACATATATTATTTTATAATAATTTTCATGTCTACTCCATTCCAAAAAATGATAAATTACTTATTTAGTCACTCACTTATTATTTAATTTATGTTTTGATTATCTAACTATTACTTATTTTAAATCATATCTAAAGTTACATCTTGGTCATTAGTTTTTAAAAAATTAATTGTGATATTAATGTGTCATCATAAGATAATATCACATTATGATTGAAAAACAATTATAAATGTCATGTTCGTATCACTATTAGTATTTTAACGGCATGTGACCAAAACATAACCGATATGTGATGTCAGGTATGATTTTAAAAAAAATAATAGTTGAGTGACAAAACATAAATTAGATAATAGTTCACTGACCAAATAGACAATTTACTCTAAATAAAAATATGTATTAATTATGTTAGATGAATTTTTTATTATATTTATATTGACCCAACCTATAAAAATTTTCTAAATTTGCCACTTATTGTCTCATATTATTTAAATAATAATAATAATAATAAATTAGCTAACTCTATTCCCATATTTAATGGGATAAGGGGGAGGTAGGGTAGTAGGCTGCCTCCAACGCTAGGTTAAGAGCAACTTCCGTGGAAGATCTCTAGCAATTATGAATTGTCCACCGTATGACTCGATCCCACGACCACAAGGTTAAGAGTCTTGCGCTCTACCAACTGAGTTGGACTAGCAAAACAAATAATAATAATAATAATAATAATAATAATAATAATAATAAATTGACATGAACTAAGCTACTTCAGTTGTTAAAAATATAATTATTTTGCAGAGATTTTGAATTAGAACACAAAATCTACAAGAATATTTGAACATTTATCGTCAATTGATTAAGAATATTTCGAATAGATATTATCCTATAATCACTCCAAATAAACAAAAAAATTGATTATATTTAAAAAATAATAAAATTATATTTATTTAAAATATTATTATAAATAAATCATTATTTATAGACATAATAGTAATATAATATGATATAATAATAGTTCTAGTTCTTAAGATTTATATAATATATCAAGTTGATCCTAACTGAAAATAATTTAATAAATTTAATGTTTCAAACATAAAAATTTCATCATTTTAATCTTTGTTTTTCTTTAAAATTATTTATTCTTCTCTTGGAAATTTTATATTGCTTTTTTGATTTGATAACAATATAATAACTTGCTAATGTTTTATAACATAATACAGTATCTAAATGTTTTTTTAGTTCGATAGACTCATTTTATTTAATAATATTATAAAAGGAGATTAAATTGATAGAATAATATATCTAAATAACTAAATTTGTTAAATTATTTTTAAATTAAATAAATTAATAAAATATATAGAACTTAAATATTAAAGATATTATTACATCAATTCACATTAATATTTTTAAATTCAATTATGAGGAATATATTTATAATGATATTTTAATTAAATAATTTATTAATATTTTAAAAAATATATATATTCTATTTACTACAACACATTTAATTAAGTGGCATTAAATGTATTTCACCCTAAAAGTTAATAAAGTGGGGATGATGAATAGATATAATTGTATTCGTCCGTATCATAAATACAATAAAAATATACACCTGATATTATTTGACAAGTGGCGCCACCAATCAGACCACTTGACAAATGGTTACAAAATTGAAATTGTTATTTTACACACAAGATAATAAAGGTTTTTTACATAAATATCACTTATTGAAAATTTATTTTTTATTTCAACATATATATTAAATTATATTTTGAATTAATATTTTTTCTGCCACGTAAAACAATGATGTATTTTTGCAGAAAATGATTTTCACAAAAAGCATCAAGCCAGAACACAACACTTCAGAATTTTGCTAACTTTCATGTGCATAGGACAAGTGAATTCAGAGTCCTTTTTTTGTTACGAGTATTGATTAAAATATGACATGATGTGTATAAACATCTTTAAGAGTTTGTATTGGTTGATTATCTCTTTTCATGGCCTATGATGAATTAGTAAAGCATGTAAGTTTGTATACTTATGCATATGCATGTCATACAATGATCATTGGCCCTTGAGTGTTGGAATGCTTACTATATAATCCTTACTGATTAGGGATGTGCACTCGATTTGAACTTGACGATTTCAAACCTGACTCGATCTTATAAAATCGAGAGATTTTTTAATAAAAAGATTGAGTTCGGGTCAAATTTAAGTTTAGGGTGAAAATTACTTGATTCGATTAGACCCATAAATAATAGTATAATTGACCTTTATATATTTAGAGATAATTGTTATTATACCTTCACTTTATTTTTTTCAATTATGTTCATATTTTATCTAATAAAAATAAAATTTTAAAAATATATTTATGTAGAGTCGGGTGCAATTTTTTACTCTAAAAATTAGATCGAATTTCAAGTCCGATAGATCTTTAAACCTGGGTCGAATTAAATGATAGATGAAACGATATTATACTAGAATTGACTTTAAATAAACAAAAAAAATCGACCCATGATCATTCTATCAATGAAGCGTTTGAAGCAGGGGCAGATGCACTAAGTGAAATTTAGAAAAAAAAGTGAAATTTAATATAATATGTTAAAGAAAAATGAAAAAAATAAAAAAAAATTGCACCCCATCATTTTTATAAAAAGAAAATTAAAATTTTAGACCTCTATTTATAAATTTCTGGATCCGCCACTACTTTAAATTCTAATTGTATAATTTAAAATTTCAATTAAGCCGACAAGTTATTTGATTATGAGTCCGAAATGTGTACTACTTATTGGTACTACTAGCATGGGAAGAAGCAAAGTCTAAACCAAAGTACTTTATTAAATGTGTGGCTAATAGTCGTCGGAGTGGGTAGAAAGTGGAAGCGTGTATGAACTTGTCCCATTTTGGCGTGGTAGGTGATGGCCTAACCTAACAACATTACCAAAACTAATATGGGTAAAATATAAGTTTAATACTTAAACTATTAGTTTTATTTTGCTTTAGTACATAACTTTCATTTGTTTGCAAATCATATCAAATGTTTATTTTTTGTTTCGTTTTAGTAACTCGCCATTAAAAGCTTAGTGAGAGTTACACCATGACACTTTTTATGAGTAAATTGTATCATTCATCACTTAACTATCTTCCCACTCCTATTTTGGTCACTGAAGTTTAATTTTTTTACTTGAATTACTTAACTTCCAAATTTAATTTTTTTTAATTATGTATTAATAAATTAATAATAAAATTCATGTAACAAATCAATAAAATAAATTAGAGTGATTAAAACATAAGCAATTTAAAAGTTGAGTGAGCAAATTGAAAATTTTAAATTTTAGTGATAAAGTAGGAGTGAGACGATGTTAAGTGATGGATGATGTAATTTATCCATATAAAAAAAGGCCACGTGCATCAGTTCTGTTAAGTTTTTAATGGAGGAATACTAAAATGAAATAAAAAGTAAACGTTAGTTATGGTTTTGAAGCAAATGAAAGTTTAGGTACTAAAAAAATAAAACTGATAGTTTAAATACTAAACATGTAGTTTAGCTAACTAATATTTTACATTTGACGAGATCTAGGTCAATGGACATACATCGGGTCAAGATTTTTATTCATATAAATTGGACGTGAAAATTAATTATTTTTATTTGATTCAATCCGAATTTAGAAGGGTCTCATTTAGCCTGAAATTCGACTCAATTTTTTTAGGTCAAAAGTCGCGTATGAATCAATCTGTTGGATTCGGGTAAAATGCTCTTCCTTATACGTATTAGAAGGAGTAAAATAATATTTAGTCCCTTAAATTAGTAATTTTTCAATCTAGCTTTAAAATTGTTTTATTCATATATTTTAGTACCAGAATTTGGTAACTCGTTCCAATTTGGTCTGTGGATTAGGATCCTATTAAAATGTTATGACTCACACCATGGCTCTCGTCAATTTTAATTGTATACTTTAAAAATTAATAGGACTAAAGTTATAATTTCATTGTTTAATGGTTCATGGCTCTCGTCAATCCTCTGTAACCGCCCCCGTCTTGACAGAGTCGATACAAGTTGAAGTTTTGCATTTTTAATATTTTTATTTTATATAAAATGTGTGGATGATTTTTAGATTTTTTTTAATTAGTTTAATGAGATTAGAAATTAATATTTATTTAAAATTTTTAATTAATTGATAATGATTATATATACATCGTATAATGTAGTTACTCAAATTTAAAATCTTTAGAAAAATTATTTTTCTATCGCCGAAATCGTTAAATTCATATTAACTATATTTTAAATATGAGACGAGATTATTTATTTTGCTCTGGTTATTATTATGCTAAGTAATGGTAGAATTTTGTTGTCAACGAAAATTATTTTTTATGGTTGCTTTTCGGTTTTAAGGCTTCACTTTGAGTAATTCAGACCGATTCGCATCACATACTTAATTCTGGTATATGAGTCTCTCAACAGAAATTTTTTATATAAACAAGAATTCAAACTCGATAATTTGCTTAAGGGAATTTAATTATACTTTAATGTAAGAAGAGTGCACAATCTTTTATTATTTGATTGTCATAAAATTCTTTAATTAATGTTATGTGTTAACCATTTTAGAATTTAGACGAAAAAGATTAAATATTTTAAGTACACATTTTGATAAAATAAATAAATATTTATTTTAATTAAAAATAAATTTAAATATTTATTTTGACCAAAAATATTTTAAGTAAAAATAATATATTTTAAATACTTATTTGTAATACCTATATCTACATCATAATGCTGATGCATGTTGATGTACGGAGGAAGCCTATTAGGAGTTGGTACGTATTCAACACATACAGTTTTGAAACAGTAAAATACGTGTTGGAAACGTTAGAAATATTAAAAATAATATAGGTCTAATACTTTTTTAAGTTTTTTTTTTATTAGTTGAGTTAAGTATAAGATAATATATGTTCAAAAATAACTTTTATCTCAATCATTTGACATTGATCACACCCATAGTTTGTCCCCACTAATTTTTTTAAGTATTAAATAATTTATATATAAATATATATATTTGAAGAATAAATAAATAAAATTTATCTGACCCTCTCAACTAAAAAATTGTATTTATGAAATTTAAAAAATACTTTAACCCAGACCTTAATAAATTCTTGGTCGTGCCCTACTCACACCCTTATCATTCATAATGCTTGAACCTAGAAGAAAAGTATATTATCATTGGTAAAAGAACCACAAAAATGGATCAATCTATTGAAAGACAACCGATAAACTGTAAATCATAATCGAGCGACGTAAGAAAACTATCCACAAATGCAAATCACGTATCCAAATATAATTCGAGAGTCCAAAGCATGAAATATCACCATGATAACAAAAGCATGATCTTGATCAGTCGTGACAATGTCAAATTTAACTCGAAGAAAAAATATAAATGAAAATAACATTCAAACTATAGAAAACGTGTCAAAAGTCACAAAAAACATATCAAAAAGATCAAAAAAATCATGTAATAAAAATAAATTTATTAAAAATTTAAAATAAGAAAATAAATAAATATATAATATAATAAAATAAAGAAAAAAATGAATATCCGCTATGAACAAAATGTGTCGTCATCAATCATAAAATGAAAAAGAAAAAGAAACTATTTGTATCTCCTCAAATTACGTATCGTGCTTATGCATGATGATGTACGGAGGAAGCGTACTAGGGGTTGGTACGTAATCAACGCATATACAGTTTTGAAACAGTAAAATATATTGGATATGTTAGAATATATCAAAATAATATTTAGGTCTAATACCTTTTTAAATTAATATCTTTCTCATTCAAGAACAATTGATAAATTAATATTAATTTAATTGACGTTATTATTGTTATAATATAAAATAATATATTTAAATAAAACTATCTTCAATTAAAGACTATAAATTATAAGTAAACCCGAAGATCATACCTTTCATGCCTACAAACATTATTTTCATATGACTCATCCACTTATTTTCATGCCAAGATGCCAGAGGAGTGGAGAGAGTCTTACGGTGATACCAATCTATAAGAATAAAGGAGATCCCCAACGTTGTGGCAACTACAGAGGTATTAAACTACTCAACCATACCATGAAGCTATGGGAAAGGGTAATAGAGGCTAGGTTGAGACAGGTTACTAGGGTTTCAGAAAACCAATTTGGCTTTATGCCAGGCAGGTCTACTACGGAGGCGATTCATCTACTTCGACGACTTATGAAGAAATATAGGGAAAAAAATAGTGATCTTCACATGGCGTTCATTGACCTTGAGAAGGCGTATGATAGCGTTCCCCGCGATACGATCTGGAAGACCTTGGAAACGAGACGGATCCCAACTGCTTATATCCGGGTGATTCGTGATATGTACTGTAGATCTACTACTACCGTCAGGACTATAGTTGGCGACACTAAGACATTCCCGGTGGAAATCGGACTCCACCAGGGGTCGGCTCTTAGCCCTTACATCTTCGCCTTGATTATGAACGACATCTATTGTGCGACACCAGACGGTGTTCCATGGTGTATGCTTTTCGCTGACGACATTGTCCTAATTGCTGAAACAAAAACTGAGCTGAATAATAGACTTGCTACCTGGAAGACTGCTTTGGAAGAAAAAGGTCTAAGGATCAATATTGAAAAGACAAATTATATATGTTCAAACTTCAGTGGAAACCAAAACGATGAAGATGTAGAAGTATGCATAGAAGGACACATTATCCCCTCAAATGATTGTTTCAAGTACCTAGGGTCTATGATACATAAAGATGGGGGTGAATATGAAGACGTTACACACCGTATAAAGGCGGGATGGCTAAAGTGGAGGGTTGCTACTGGAGTTTTGTGTGACAAGAAGGTGCCTCTAAAACTAAAGGGAAAATTTTATAGAATGGCAATAAGACCAGCGATGTTGTATGGATCAGAATGTTGGGCAATCAAGAAGGATCACGTAAGGAGGATGGAGGCCGCAGAAATGAGAATGCTTCGATGGACATGTGGTAGGACTCTGTGGGACATGACACCTAACTCTGCTATTAGGATGTACTTGGGGGTGGTGCCTGTATCCGAAAAATTGAGGGAGGGAAGACTACGGTGGTTTGGGCATGTCCTTAGGCGACAACCGTCGGATGCGGTCATGAGGGTAGAGTCGATTACAGTAGACGGTGTCAGAAGGAGAGAACGACCAAGACGAAAGTGGGAAGACTGCTTGAGATCTGATTTGAAGGAATTAGCCCTTACTGAGGACATGACCTCTGATAGGAAAGTATGGAGAATTAAGACCAGGGTAGTTGAGTAGTGCAGTTCACAACCATAGGGTGTAACATCTCTGTCTTCTTTTTAATGTCTTTGTAGTACTTTCCATGACTTCTACTTTATACATGTTTCTGTCACTGAAATGTATGAAGGCTTAGAACTAGGGTATCGGAGTAGTGTTGCCTTAGTTTAAGAATTAACTCATTTGAATTTATTCCTTCTTGTAGCTTGATATTATTGACTTATTGTGTATCATTTCTATTCATGTTTCCTCTTTTTAAATTTAGCTGGGTCTTACATTTTCAGTCTATATGCAGAGATTTCTATGTAAGGAATTATTTGCAGGGAATTATTTACAGGGATTACTCCCCATTACAGACGCACATATCAAGACTGCATATGAAGACTGTTCATCTATGTATTTATTTATTTGTTTATTTATAAACGCATTTGCATCTTATCTTTATTTTTAATTTTCTGACTGCCAGAGGTATTCCACGGAAACTGCTCTCAACCTGGCGTTGGGGTCAGCCTACTACCCTACCTCCCCCTTTTCCTATTGCATATGGAAATCAGGGTTTTGTTGTTGTTGTTATTGTGTTACTTGGATAATTGTATCTAGACATCATCTTACTCTAAAATTGAAAATTTTATGTTATATTGAATTCATCAAACGTCTTCAATGATAAGGGAAGTGTTATTCTCACTATAAATATTAAATCCGAATAGTTATATCTGTAAGATGGTGTGTATTGTCAATAGTTAAGAAAATTTTTAAACAGATACTACCTTATAACTATCAAGACCATTAAAAAATTTATATTAGATTGAGATAACTTTTTTTAAAAAAAATTAGACAATAGAATAATTTTTTATTAAAATAATTCTAATTAAATTATGGATCCATAAAGATGTCAAAATATATTTATTTTATGTGGCCGGATCCAATGTATCATCTTTGACTTTTTTTTATTGGGTTATCCAAATGGTATTTAATACTTGAAATTAATAATAAAATGTAAGGGTTTTTTGTTTACTTCAGAATGATTAAGCGTTGAATGATTTAAATGCTGAATGATTCAGAGGCTCTGAATGAATTACCTTTGAATATGACATGCTGTTTGATAATGGCTCTGAATCATTCAGAATGTATTTCTGTGTTGAATCATTCAGCACTGTTTTACTGAATTAGTCAGTACTGAATCATTCAGAGGTGCGAAATAAACGCGTTGAATGTTTTACGGTTCAACATTCAACACTGAATGGTTCCATTAAGAGGCAAACAAACAGTCCCTAAATATGTCTGACACAAAATTGTCATTTTCTTCCATATTCTTTACCAAAAAAAAACTTATTTCTATCCTCTTACCTTTGTAGATAAGGACATACAATCGGTTATGAATCTATATTTTTTTTAGTTTAATTAATTCAGGGTAAAGTACACAAATAATCACTTGACTATAGGATAATACTTTGTTTAGTCCCTAACTATTAAAAGTTACAAAATGATCCCCTGACTATAAGGAGTTGCTTTGTTGAGTCCCCGACTGTTAAAAGTTACAAAATGATCATCGACTATTCATTATGTTTTAAACTTGTCCTTTCCGTTAAAAAATGACGTTAATATACTGATTGAGTTATGATAAAATATGACCTCATAATCTCAAACAACTATCATATCTCAGTCAGCATGTTAACGTTCAGCTTAGATGACCATTAATTTTTAAACGAAAAAGGATGAGTTTGGAATATAATGAATAGTCAGATGATCATTTTTAACTTTTAATAGTTGATGGACTCAACAAAGTAACTTCCTATAGTTAGAGGATCATTTTGTAACTTGTAATAATCGAAGACTCAATAAAGCAATATCCTATAGTTATTGGACCATTTGTGTACTTTACCTATTATTTTTAACTAGTAACGATGAAATAAAATTATTTAAAAATTTTGGAGGATTTAATTTAATTAGAAAAACAATGTCAACTAAAACTTTTAAAAAGTTTCAAGCTCAATAAGAAATGCCAAATTGTTTTTAAAAAATTAAAAAGAAAATGTCAATTAATCAAATTTTAGGGATCATCATCGTCACGTAAGATCGACTTTTATAATTATTTGATTTAATCAATTTGACTTACGATTGATTAGATCAGTTAAATATATTAATTGATTTATCGTCATCTTTTTTTTCTTTAGAATTTGTGTCATATTCTGTAGACCGAATAAAATTTTGTTCTTTGATTTTATTTAGTCGGCCACGACATCGATTTTAAAATTGATTGTCGACCATCAGTTTTTTCTTTGTATCTTTTTTAGTTTTGTTCTTTAATTTTATTTAGTCGACAATGACATCAGTTTTAAAATTGATTGTCGACCATCAGTTTTTTCTTTATATTTTTTTTAGTTTTTAATAAAAATAATTTTATTTTTGTGACATATTTTCTCTGTATTTGTGACATATTTGTCTTTTTTTAGGTCATTTGGTGTTCTTTTTATTTTATGTTGTCTCAGGGTTTGATTTAACGACGTCACAAGTGATCAATACGACGCTTATTTATAATATTGTTGATATTCCCTGCAATGGACTCTCATATTCATTTTGGATACGCGATTTTACGTTTATAAATAGTTTCTCACGATATTCAGCTCTGATTTATGGTTATCGGTGATATTTCAATAGGTTAATCCTCATTTGTGGTTTATTTTCCGATACAATCATATTTGTTTGTATATATTATTCGTTTGAGTCATTTGGTTGGATTTTAACCTTTTTCTTGTATGCTTTTTATATGATCTAAAGTTGCTAATTTCAGTGTGACAAAAAATATCTAAATTATGTATTTAGTTTACGATGATAATTCTAAACTTTTATTGTAATTTTGGATATTTTCACTTTCCAATAAGACTAGTGAGCTCTCTCTCTCTCTCTCTCTATATATATTCAAAATAAAAAAAATAAAAATAAGGTTTAATGAAAAATATAAATGACCCAAATTACATCTTAAGCTAACTTTAGATGCCGAAATAATTTTTTACTAAAATTAGGTGTCTAATATTTTCAACGTTATACTTTTAGATGTCTGGTCTATCACAACCATTAAATTCGATCGTTACGTGATACGTGTTCGACTTATAAAATTTTTTATTTTAAAGTAAAAAATATAATTTATTTAAAAAAACTATTTTTTTCCTCTCAAATCTAAAAAAGAACTCAAAACTCTAAAAGTTCTATTTCCAAACTTTTCCTCACGTTGGTCGTCGTTGATGGCATATTGGTCGTCGTCATTTACAATAGATCACTTCATCTAATTGGATTCCAACGCACGATAAGAGGAATTATTGCTTAAATCATTGGAATCGTCGCCTTTAGCAAGAATCTTTTAGTCTCTACAATCGTCCATTTTTCATTGTAATTATTTCTTGAAATATGGGGTTCAATCATTAGGTGTTTCGGCAGTCGCACGCCATTGGATTTTGATCGTTTGGAGGCGTTGGTGGCGACCGATAGCAATAAGGGTTTTGAAACAATAAAAAAGTTTAAAATTTTATATGTCTGCTACATATTAGATAATGACCACATTTAATTATTATTATATCATAGGTACCTAAAAATGTAACATAAAAGACGTTAGATACCTACTTTGAGTGAAAAATTATTTAATCAACTGAAGTTAACTTAAGATATAATTTGGACACTTATATTAAGTTAAACATAAAATAATAATATATTAAACAGAAGAATTCATGTTATGATTTGTTTGGGCTTTAGATACTGCAGAAATGAGCTTAGAATGAACCCATTTTGATGATATTTTACCCAATAATAATATACCCATACTAATATTAGTGTGTACATTATCAATGTAAGTCTCAGTTAAAAGAAGCCGACATGAGCCACTCCAGCGATCACCATGTACGCGGACTCCATGTCAACTACTCAACTCTTCAAAAGAGCCTTCTCAGACCTTTATTAAATCTATGGGGCTTATTCTATCTGAAAAATATATGCACTCTATCTGAGTTTGACATGATCCAAAAAATATATATATTCCATTAGATCCGATTCGACCCAAAAATATATATCCTCTATCCAAATATGATCCGATCCAGCCCGAAGTTTTATAGTATAAATCTAACTTAGCCCGATATAAAATAAGGACCTAACTAAAAAAATAATAGAAAGATGACGTATTATTATAATTATCCATAATTTATTTGAAGAAGTTATACTATTATCCTCAGGTCGGGTCGGGTCAGAACTTTTTATCCTCCACCCGAACCCAACCTAACGTCACTCCTTTTATAAAATCCAATCCAAACTCGATTTTTTTATATAAAAAATCTGACTTTATCAAATCAGTTTGGATCAAAATTCGTTAATTTCAAGTTAAATTGTTATCCTTACTTATTTTAGCCTCTGATTGAATTAACGACAATATTTGAGACACGAGAATTTGTGAAAAATATTGATAGATCTAAAAATTTTAAAATAAAAATTTTAAATTTTAATATATATTTTTAAATAAATTTGTAGGTTTTTTTTTTTATTTTTATCTTCTTTTGACCAACTAAATTAAATTTAACAAAAATTTAAAAACATTAGATATGTAATTGCTTCTCTCTAAAGAAATATATAGGAGTGGACGTAAGATTTTATATGAAGGAACTAATAATATTTTAAGTGGACGAATTTATAAAATTTAAAGGGGTGAAAACATATTGAAATAGAAAATACTTCAGTTATGTGAGAATTTAAAATTTTTAAATCGGCCCCTTCCCAGACAGGGGCGGAACAAAAAATTTATTAAGGCAGAGGTTCAAGTATTTTTTTTCACAAATATAATTTTTTTAATCGAGAAAGGTCGGATAAATTTTTCTTTATTTTTTTTAAATATATATATATATATATATATATATATATATCAATATTAATTAATACTTTAAAAAAAATATACGGATGCCAAGGTTCCCCTTAACCCCGTGAAGTTCCGCCTATGTTCCTTGACTGTATATATATGCCCATGTCGAAAGCGTCCTATGCAGCAGTGGCACACGTAAATGTTACATATGACCACTGTAAAATATGAATTTCTTTATATTAGTTGTTTGTTTTAGTGATGGTGCATACTCAAAAACTTTATTTGTGCACACCACATACGAATAATTTATTTTTTTAGTATATATGTGTCTACCCTAAAAAATATTTCTGGAGCTGTCATTGCTAGACATGGACGAATGTAAAACTTTATTTTAGGGAACAAACTTTTAAAATTTTAGAGGGAGCAACTTTTAAAATTCTAGAGGTAGAAATAGATTATCAATGGAAAATACAAATAAAATATCTAAAATATATAACAATTTGAAATTTTTAAGAGGTGACGACTGTCCCGCTCACTCCTCCTTCGATCCATCCCTAGTCACAGGTTTCATGCATGCTCTCCTAAAAGATGGACAAACTATGTGCTACTTTTTAAAATAAGACCCCTAAAATATTTTATAATAATTATTAATTTATTAAATTTGACATGTCACAGACCATTCATGTACATGGACGGGCTTAGTTTCATGCAGTCGGACAACTGTCTAAAGGGGCTAAGGCAGATAGAATCTCCAGTTAGTACCGAGCACGAAGCTATCCACCACGGACACTTTAGTAGCTCTCCTCTCGCAGCAAGTTAGGCTGCACCCTTCAAATAGAATCACATCGTAATGTCCGTAATTATAACATCGCAGTTGTGACTGTAATCATAATTATAATATTGCAGTTGTGATTGTAATCGTAATTTAATACTATAATCACCTATTGAAAATGTTAGCCGAAGGAATGGAATGCTTTGATTGGTGAACCGGATTGTGCGAGTAACTGAAGTATGTTACAGCTTTTGGTCATCCATTGTGATTTTACTATTTCATTTCTCATGACTTCACTACCAATCAAAGTTCAAACCAGCTTTCATGATACTCATTCAAGCTTTGCTATTTCATATGATAGTAGAGACCTCACCAGCTTTCTTATTTATCTTGTTATGATAATTACGATCATATTTCTTGTCGCATTACCATTGTTGAGATTATGAATAAAATAAACATTATTACAGTCTACATATCACGGTCGAGAATTTTTGTTAGAAGAGTTAATTTAAAAAATATGAACTTGCTATTATCGTAATTGATTGTTACCTGTTAATTTACGATCATACATTATATAACGTTATTTAAATCCCTTAAATCTCAATTGCGAGATAACAATGGAAGAAGTGCTTTACCTTTTGAATTCTATTGACATTTGGTGATTCATAAAAGTTAATTACTTCAGGAATTGATTCTGAATGCCCGTCCGCATAAGTAAATATCACTTCATTAATCTTCAGTCAACCCCAAGATAAGATGCCATTCTCCTTTATTCAGTTGTGAAAGTGACCACTCTTTTATCATCTTTTTAAATATTAATGTTTGATTTGTGGGTTCGTATTTAATTTACTTTTTTAAAAATATTAATGTTTTATTTATTTATTTTTAAAGATATTTATATTTTTCTCTATTTTTGGAGATATTTATATTTTTGAAAGTGTTCACCAACTTAAATAATTTGAACTAAATTTATAAACTAAACATATCCTTATTTGTATTAGTTGGTTTGTTAAATAAATATAAAAATTATATTTATAGTACATTATAAAAAAGATAATTATACAAACAATTCAGGGGAAGTAATAGTAATTGTATTTATTTAGAACTCACAACTATTACAATTGAAAAAAGACTCAAGAATTTGGAGAGTGCGTAGGGTGGGTACTTTCTTTGAGAGCCTGGAAAACTCTGGAACTGTGATCAAAGATCTGAGCTCTTCTGTTGTAATCACTGGGCTCCCTCCCATGGTCTTCTCCTTGTATTGCCTCTCTCTCCAAACACTCCAACACCTCCACCATTCCCTTCTTCTCCACTCTCTTCCACCCTTCTCCTCCACCTTCTTCCAGCTCCCTTTCTAACTCCTTCAAAAACCCTGCCTCCCAAGCTGCGCACTTTGCTACCGCTACTACTGCACCGACTCGGCTTCGCTTTGCCTTCATGTTTAAACCTCGAAAACCTGGTGGCATCCTTAAGTGGTCACCGTCACCGCCGTGGGTTTGGCATGGTTCCGGAACTTGTCTGACGATGCCATGTGTAGTTGTGCGACAAAACGATGATGCCATGCCTGATGGAATGAAAGAACCTGTATGAACTTAATAACCTTTGTTGTGTGTGGTGTGGTTCACGACTTGGAGAATGGAAAACGGTGGCACTATATATAGTTGGGAAGATGGACACGTGGCCGATGCTAACTTTCCACTTGTGAGAAATGGGTTCATTACACGGAAAACACATGTCAAGCGATGGATATTTAGAGAGAGAGATGGAATAGGTGGTCGTAGAAGTAAAAGTAAAATGGGCAAAGGCACGCTTTTCAAAGTTCAAACACAAACAAAACACCAACGGTTCACGTCTTTGACATGTTAGTTGGATGGCGTACAAATTCTCCAAAAATTCTCACGGGTAGCTGGGTTTTTATGGTCAATAACAAGGGGTTTTTTTTTTTTATCTTTTATATAGAAGAACAATGGAAATTTGTTGGATAAAATTTAGGGTTTGTTTCCTTGTAATTGTTTTTTATTTTTAATTCAAGTAAAATGATAAATCAATGTAAAATGAATTATAAACCAATAAAAAATACGTTTAACCAAAATGATTAATAAATGTAAAATTGATTATAAATCAATAAAACATACGTTTAACTTAATTAAATTATGTGTTTTCCCGATATGTCATTTTTTTATTTATCCATTGTTTTTATCAATTAACTTATGTAAAAATACATTTGAGAAAATAATTATTTACATTGATATAGATAAATTTTACTAATATTTAAAAATAATAATTGACATATCGCGCAAGAAAGTTTTGAGGACAGAGATACATTTGAGGAAATAAGACTCATTCACACCAATGCAAATAATTTTTAACAATATTGTTCTTTCAATATTTAACACGTCAAACAAAAAACTTGAAGAAGAAATAACTTAATAATATTTTTACTATGAATATTAAATTTTTATAACAAAATAATACTATTTGTTAGAATTGATATTTATAATGAATAATTTTTAAAAATTGTATTAAATAACATAACATAATTTAATAATATCATTTAAACACCAAAAATTGATTTCTGAATCCCCCAAAAAAAGAATGGTTTATTTTTGTCAAAATCATTTTCTGGAATATGTTTTCGATGAACAAATGGATGCTTAGTTTCAACGAATCTGATATTTTTTTTTTTTTGCGTTTCACCTAGGACAATGATTGATTAAAGCTCGTACCCAAAAGAAAAAAAGAGTTGGTTAAAAACTGAAAGGCATATTCATCCATGTAATGTTTAGTTTCTGGTTCAAGTATTTGACAAGTAAGTGCCTTTGAGTTTCCTTTTCTATGATTTCTGCAAAAAATGAAGACATTTGAACCTTACGCAATTGACTAATAACATAGATTGATTATACATGTTCAACTCACTGAACCAACACGCCAACTGAATATACTGAACTGCATGCATGCATGCATTTGTAAAGCTTATTACTTTTATAAGTTCTGCATACATAATTGTGCTGAGCTTAATTCCCTACCATTAGAGCCCTAAAGACAAATATTCCTTATGTTAACGGATGAAATAATAATCTAATGAACAAAAGGGGGGGGGGATAAAGCTAAACCTTGGTTAGAAAGCCTACAAATTTAACCATTTCAACAGCCTGCTGAAACTGGTTACAAGATTGCGCTACAGATGATTTTCATTTGTATCCTTAACCGGCGTGAATGTCAAGCGGTTGGGTTTTCCTTGAGTCTCCTCTCAGCAGCTATAGCAGCGGCCATGGAAGGAGGTAGGTGTCTCAGACTTTCACTTTTGGTCCCATCTTCACTGGTTTTTGGTACTGTAGATGGTGCTGTGGCGAAGAGGGATTCGACATCTTTAAATGTCAGAACAGGCTGGTCCTGATTCTTGGTGTTCCCAACAAAGCCGCTCGAGTTCCTGCTTCTGTTGAGTTTATATATGCTCTCTTCGACAGTGTTTTTAACCTGATATCGAGCCAGAAAAGTATGAACCCTGAAGCTAATAATCAGAATTCAAAATGAAGATGAAATGAAGCAAATGATATGAGATTTTAGAATATCTGGTTCGTATACATGTAAGTAAAAGATTTAGTTCGTCAAATGCTAATGTTCGACATAAATGACAAAATCAGCGAGTGTGTTGTCACATAGAAACATGCATGATGGATTCCAATCATTTAACATCAAAATAGATAGGAAAATGCACATACTATAAAGCGATGAAAAAGTGTCCTCTTATCCTGCCCGATTCGATGTACCCTGCTGATCGCTTGTGCTTCAACTGCAGGATTTAGTAATGGTTCAACAAGAATAACATGCTGTGCCTCTAAAAGATTTAGGCCATTTGCACCATGTTGGACCAAGAGCAATAGCACCTGAATAAATTTTGGTTCCGACTTCCGCATCTTCTGTCCGCTTCCACCAATATTTTGTCCTCTAAATTCACTGATGGCAACATGTGATTTCCTGTGATTGCACATATTAATAACTCGATCAAATCTGAAAGTTGATATATATTTTCAGATATGAAGGGGCATTAACATCTACAACTAATAAACTAATCGAAAATTCAAAGCACATCGGAAGTAGAAACTAAATAATAAAAACAGGCACAGGCAAAGGGGCCAAACATTTTACTTCCATAGAAACAAACCAGATGTTCTTAGAATACAAATTTTGTAGGAAGAAACTAAAACTTTTGCAGTACAAGTTGTCCAGATCCATCAGTAACTCTCCAGGTATACAACCAACAAAATACAGAGAGCTGGTAAACAGATTCTTTACCTTCCTCCTTTCATTCGGATGTAGGTAATGTCATTAGCAGTGAATGCGTGTTCTAACACATCAAGAACGTCATTCCAGCTTGAAAAAACCAGGACTTTAGCTTTTGGGTCAGCAGATTTGATCCCCAAGATCCTTCGTGTAACAGCTTCAATCTGTACAATCATCAACAAGATGCTTACCATAATAGTCATCTAGACGTCTTGATATAAACAGTTGGTAGATTTCTCTTTTCCCCCTATAATTTTCAGTGTTATCATTTTAAAGAGATCTCGGATGGTAAAAGCAGAATCATTAGGTAATAACTTCCTAGATGAAGCATAAAGAGAATTAGAAGTCCAGTTTTGTATGAGCAGGATTCAAACAGATGCCTAACAAAGACATGCATTGACACAGAGAAACAAGATGGAAGCCAAACAGACAAGCAGACTCTATCCGATGGCCAAGGATAATTGACTGGTAAGACTGATAAAATAAGGATTCTGGTAGCATTGTCTCATGCATCCCTCAACAATGACTCTGCACTGTCAAATGTAGCCGAGTATTAGAAAAGTTCTTTCGTATATTTTAGATGTACTTTATGTTTATCTACTTGGGAGATAAGTTAAATATCCATCTAGTAGTTTAGATATGTAGAACTCCAATGCAAACACTAACCTAATAGGACTCTACAGTTGTAAAATTCAGCCTTTTTAATCAGGCTATTTTCTGTAAGTTTTTTATGAATGAGAATTCAGAAAGAGTAAAACACTTCTTCTTTTCTCTCTAAATCTTCCATGCACAAGTTCCGCAGATAAAATAGAAAAGAAAGGAAAAATACAGAAGTGGTTGGGAATGAATGTACAAAATTATGCTATTACAGAAGATATAGAAACCAAGATGATCGGATAAATGAAAATGTAAAATATGAAAAGAATCGAAACAATGCACTTGCATACGAATGCTTAACAGGTAAAGCAAATAGATAACTAACATACATACTGCATAAAATGTGTTTTGTGGAATTATATTTAGTCAGTTGTGTTGGCCTTGGCATCATTTGAGGTGATATGCACCAAAAAAACTTGCTTGAGAAACATCTAGGTTACTTTAAAAATATATATATAATTATTCCATGCAGTTAATTAAACAATGAAAGTAATTCAATTTAGAACACCCCCCCCCCCAAAAAAAAAACGAAAGAAGGAAAAGAACATTCATAAGTGCACCTTTGTTCCATAGGAACCTTGAACAGTCAAAGATGCTTCATAACTGTCACCACCTTGAAATGTGTGAGGGATAGGTGAAATTTGCCTATCAACAGCTAAAGCAATATTTCCAACTTCTGTGTGCTGCCTACATGTTGGGCACATTACCCATTTATTCTGACACTTGTTGCCATGGCTTAATCCTTGTTCAGTCATAGCAAATAAACCTGCAAAAATGTGAGGCATGAAATGCAAATGAAGTCGAATGAAAAGTTCAAAGCAAATAGAATAATGAAACAAGATAAATCAATAGGTAAAACAAAGAGAACAGGACAGGTCACTCTAAAATGGTGACAAACAGCAAAATAAAGTAAAAGAGGAATGGACAATTAAAGCCTCGCTATTTGTCACTTCAATTGGTTTCACATGATGGAATTGATATTGACAAGTGCGCCAAATGAACTTATCTTTCACATAAGGATTTTTGAAGATCTTTACAAGACTGTGAACACTAGATACTATATCTTAAAAGAAACTTAATATTAACTTTAAGGATGCAATGTTTTTGGGAGGATTTTAATTCAGTCACCTAAAATTGCAATCCACCACATATGCACACCGACAGTTCACAACATATGCGGAGGGGGAAGTTTCCAGCAGTAATTAATCAACACAAAATTTCTTTGACTAGCAAGTTTCAGCTAAATGTTAGCATACAAAAAAAATATTGTTTCTTTAGTTTTCATTGCAAGGGTAAATCTTCAACACCGACATCTTAAAATCTTGAGTGCAAATGGCTTTCATGGAAGGGTGGAAATCTGGAGGGGGATGATGTAAAACTCACATTTACAGCAAGTAACATGTCCACATTGAAATACCATCTTCTGACTGCTTAGCTTTTCTTGACAAATAGGACAAGCTTCCTGGTTAGCTTTAAGTGGACATGCGCTTTTCTGTTCTATATAAGACAACATGGTAGACATATCTTGAGTTAAAGTTGAATTATCAGAACTCTCCATTTGCACCAGATTTTGAGATAGAACCAATCCCTGAAAACAATTCATGTAAGAAGCAAATGAGTTTTGTTATTTATACGTGAAGGTAAGATAAGGAAAATTGTGGTTGAAAGCAAATATAAGGCATGCAATTTCCTTCAGGCCAAAAGCATATGAAGAACCATGACAACAAGAAACTAAAGCAGTGATGATGGATCATCCTGCCAGAGCAAAAACATGTCAACCAAAATATTTCAAACAAAGTATGGTGTATAGAGGGCAGAGAAGAATTTCCAAGATATTTTAGCAGCACCTTTAAATAACGAAGTTTCCCTTTGATATTCGATAACAAAGTCAAGGACAGGAATTTGTCACTAGTGTTTTGCACACTAGCTGAAGCCAACTCATCTGGACTTAAAGCATCAATTGATTTGTCATTTTCAAACTCTCTTATGTGCAATCGAGTCGTTGCCATCTTGATTTCGTCATGCGCATTCAGAACTTGTGCTTGGGCAATTGCTAATAGCCTAGCATGCCGATACTCCTTCCTCATTCCCTAACCAGGTTATGAGAAAGGTAGGAAAGGTAGGAAGGGTCAAAAGAAGGAAAAAAGGAAAATCAATTTCCATAAAGTACATGATACATACAACATGCTAATAAAATTAGGAAACAATTCAATATCATTATGTGCTTAACCTGCTTTAATTAGTACAGTTAAGCAGAATGATCCAGCAAACAATAATTGAATGTAGCATACCTCCAGAATTTGTAGCTGCTTTGTAGCTGCCAACATACCATCTTTTCCTAACTGAGCCTTGCAAGAGCTCTTTATAACTCCAAGAGCTACTTCCAATTGAGATGGAGATTTAGAGACCTATCCATAATAAACCATAGAGTACAATGCTATTACATGATAAAGCCCTAGTACACCTCAAGAACAAAATTCATACGAGAAAAAGTAACCGACCACTATTGTTTCTTGAACACCTCTCTTCAGTTCTTTATCATCTACATTAGATGAAGTTGAATTTTTGGTTGGCTGCGATAAGCTCCAATAAAATCGATTAAGTGCAGACTTCTTCTTCTGCAGAACTATTGCCTCTTCAGCAGAAGTAACCATCTCTCCATCCTTTTTGTTAACCCGAAAAAGCCTTGCCTCATAATCCTGGTTGACGATGTTAAAAAATGTAAAGAATGTAAAACAGTTTATAGTTGTATGGTCAAACATCGACAACAACATAGAAGTTTGGAGGCAAACCTGGAACAAATCCTCTAGTTCGCAATGAACACAAATTGGCCCATCACCAATAACCTGACAATTACGGCAATATCGTACACGCTCAATATCCTCCTCTTTTGGATTTTCCATTGTTTGATCAATTTCTAAAAGTCTATCAAGCACTTTTCCCCTAAAGGATTCCAATAGATCTAAACCAGTCTGGATGTGATACTTTAGAGCAGTAATACTCTGAAACCTGTAATAAATAAAACCAATAAAAAGGTAGGGCATGATCAGGAAACGATACAATATACTAATATACTCTGAAACCTGTAATAAATAAAACCAATAAATGAAACCTCTAATATATTCCACGCAAAACTCAAACAAACATACAATATACTAATTGCAATGTAAAAAGGAAACAATAAATTTAAAAGCCTGCTCATGAATAAAAAGCCCGGTTTGCAATCTCAAATCTGTTTCTATTTAAAAAAAAAGACCCAATTTGCAATTGCAAACTCAGCTTTATTGTTTATGACTTTCAAGATACAGAAATTATCTGTCAGGAGTTTCTCACCAGGATTTATAGAACTATCAAAATATCCATATTTAGTTTTACTATAATTGCATATAATGCACCTGGTTTATTCTTACTTCAACGCGGAGAAGAACCACATACTTCTCCATCGATAAAACATAAAAGCAGGTCACAGCAATTCTCTTACAAAAAATGTGAGAAATGTGTTGCTACTTGCTAGCAAAAATATAAATCAGTGCATTCTTGAAGTGAAACAAGCATTAAGAAGGCAGGTTCAAAAAACAAATGAGTGAGTACAAAAAATATTGCAAGGACAGAATCGATCAATTTTTATGCCATACCAGGGATTTAAAAGAGAATTTACATAATATTTATCGCTTTAAATTTTGTTAATCCTTTAAATGCTTGTACTGCAGTTTGTTGTATTCTTTACAGCAGGCTAGCCTTCTATATTTTTGGATGAATTGAAAAATTATTTATTTATAAAAGGTAGTAGAAAGTAAAAACCATGATGTATAAGGATAGACAACACTACGCAAGAGAGGCTAAAAAAAAAAAGACCATCTCTGACCAGGAAGACATTCTTGATGAGCGGTGGTTCTTAAGAGATCCTGAGATAGCCTCTTCAATCTTTCTGATTAACTCACTGGAGAAATCCTTGTCTTTCTCGGCATTATCAAGAGCTTCCAACCACCAAACTCTATATTCATTACTAGTGCCACTCAATGCATTAGAAACCTGCAAAAACATTGTTGTTAATCGTCTCATGTGCAGTAGACAGACAAAAAATGTAAAGCAAACATCTGGATATAACAAATACGAAGGTTTTAGTAACAAAGAATTAACTCCTTAGGCTTGAAATGTTCAAAAGAACATTCCACATTTAAATTTTATTCAGTAGGTAGCTTTATTTGAGATTGTAAGGGATGTGAAAATCAAATTCAGAAAAGAGAAAGGTACAGCTTACTCTTCTGGAAGCAATTTTTTGTTCTGCCTAGAACATATAATTTGTGCTTGACAAGAATCTTGTAAAACATTTTTTTGTAAACTGTTGATTCTAAGCACGCATGGCGATACACCAGCATGAGGGGTATTTTCTACAAAGAAGGGGGAAACGTGCTTGTGGGAAGAGAGCTTCAAAGAGGTTGCAAAAGTTGTGTTGATTCTTCAAGATTATGTGCGACAGGAAACAACGAAACTATAGCTGCCTATAAGCATGCAGATTTTTTACACGAGATAGATATAGCACATGTAAGGTACACTTGACATGTAGCGTTGAATTACAATGCCTACATTCTAACTAGTGAGCTGTGCTCCGATAAATATTTTGTGATATTTCTCTTTGTATCGTATTCGAAAGTTCTATGGAGAACATGTATTATACCTGCATGTATGACTTTCTGAACTCTTGCTGAGCTGCATATAACTTTGTAGTAAATGCTGATAAGTACTTCTGTTTTAAATTTTGGCATTCTATTCTCAAATATTGTTCATTTAAAGCTCCAGATGACATGTGGCACTGACCATTACAATCTTGGTCATTATTTGTGCTTTTTTCTGATAGGTAAGATGCTATATCATGCAGATTACCAGCACTGGTTTTAGAATCCTCAAGGTCCTCGAGTTTCTGCCTCTTCACAGAACTTTGATCACATATTTCAATGTTGTGGTCTATGGAGGCTTTCTCAGAGTTTTCAGAGAATTGTATCTCTACTGGAAGTTGCTCTGAGAAGGTTGTAACCACAGGTAGTATCTGAGCAAGATTGTGATGGATGTGAATACTCAACAGAGGGTCCAGGCGAAAATCCTCAGAATGCTCTTTAGTTAGATCCAGTGCTTCCTTATATAATGATACTGCTTGAGAGAGTTTCTCTTCTATTATAGCTATTCCTGCAAGCCCATTTAAAGCACTGACTAACATCCTGAGCGCTTCCTCTCCTTCTGTCTTGGTCTTGCTAATAAGAACCTAAAAAAGAAATCCTCTTAAAGTACTGATAATAGAAGCTTTTGCAGAAAGTTTTATCAAATGTTTCAATAACAACTCACATTTAATATTTCCTCCATAGTCATTGGGGCCTGCTGCAGAGAACGCAGCCCAAAACTTCCTACTTGAGGGTGACAACAGGCTTGACGTAGCTTCAAGAGTGCGTTCAGCAGCTTTGCTGCTTCTGCATGTGTGATAAACGGATCGAACGTTGCACCAGATGAAACACCACCTAGAAAGTATATATGAAACGTAAGACATAAACTCAGTTTCTGACTTTAAGTTGGTATATTACTTGTAAATTCACCTAAACAAAGGTATTGTAAAACCAGCAACAACCTGGCATTTCTCTTTTCCGGAAATCTTCTTTCACACTTTCAAGAACTTCACTGGCATAACTCACACATGTTTCATGTTGCCTTTGATAAAAGTGTTCTTCAATTGGTGAGAAAGTGAGCCAAGAGACGGATTCCTCTTGAGGGGGAAGATGCAACTCATCAGCAACATGTAATTTTGAAGAACGCCACATGATTTGTTTAAAAAATTTATGTGTGAATTCCATAGCACCTCCATCTTTTTTCTGCAAAAGGAGCAGATAAACATATAATAAAAATGTGGGAACTAGGGACTATTTAGAACCACTTCCTTATTTGATGAAGAGCCAAAGAAACATTCAGTGAAAAGATACAAGCCAAACTTTCACGAACACCGCATTGAGGTGCGGTTGAAACATTTGTAGAAAGCCTGCCGAGATTAGAAGTTTAGTTTATCTTAAAAGTCTAATTTTATTTGTAATTTATTTGTATTGTATGATTACGCTTTATCTTCTTAGGATACGAGTTAGTAAAAAGAGAAACTCTAACTTGTAATACACAACCTATTAAAACAGGTTGTGTTTTCTGTTTTTAGTAGGATTCTCGACCGAAGAAAATTCTCTCTTTTCTAGAATTCTCACATGGTATGGGGCTAGATTATCTATCCTAGTAAATCATGGAGAACCCACACACATCATCCTCAGAAGTCAGTTCAGGCTCCAAAACACATCCCTCCAACACAGTCATCAATACCTCACTCATTCCTGTCACAAACCACAGAATCAATGGCCACAATTATCTTCACTGTTTTCAGTCTGTTCTCATGTACATCCCAGGGAGAGGCAAAGACAGTTACAGTTACCTAACCGAGAAGTTTTTTATTCCAGAAACTGATGATCCTAAGTATCGTACATGGAGAACTGAGAATCATATGGTTATGGTGTGGCTAATAAATTCCATGACCACCGAAATATGAAAGAATTTCCTCCTCTATAAAACAGCAAAGGAGACATGGGAGGCAACAAAGGAGACCTACGCCAACTCAGACAACATCTCTGAACTCTTTGACGTAGAGACCAGCTTCATGACCTACGGCAAGGGGAGCTGACTGCCACTCAATACTACAACACAACCAAAAGGTATTGGAAACAACTTGATTTATTTGACACTAGAATTTATGTCCTTCAATAGGACTTAAATCAAGCGATGCTCATAGAAGACCGATTTATAGAGCAATAGAGATAGTTCTTCTCTTGTACAACATTGAAACCACAATATCTTCAAAGTATTATTTCATTTTAAATCAGCTTTAAACTACGGAGAAATATATGCTTCAGGTGCCACACATACATCATTACAATTTATTACATGCTTTTACATTCATGTTCTTTTGGAGAAATCTCTGTGACAGTTTATTTCAAGATTGAAATTCAGTCATTTTCGTATTTTGAGGGGAAAATTATAATTTCATATTAAACATGAAAAAATATTTTATAATTATAAATATTACATTTCAGTGTATATTGGAAGCCACGATGCACATAAGTAATTGTTGGAATACAAGCAAAGGTAAGAAACTTCATACCTCATATGGATCTCGTATAACTTCCACCCACCACCTTGAAACATCGAAAGGACTTAGTTTCAGGAATCTTAAAAGTCCATATAAGTCATCAAGTTTGCGTTGTATAGGAGTGCCCGTAATACACCAGCGATGCTTAGCATATAATCTCATGGCCATTTCTGTTGCAGCAGCAGTATTGCTCTCCACCATTTGCGCCTCATCTAGACAAACCCTCCACCACAATATTCTAGTGAGAAGAGTTGGAATAACAGGGTACCTGTTGAAAAGACAGCCCTGTCATCATCTTGAGACATTAAAATAAGGCAGCCAGGATAAAAGCTAGAATTATTCTGTTAATAGGGGCCATTCAAGTTAGTTAAAATTTTCATTTAGTTTTTATCGAAAAATAATTTAAATTCCAAGAAGCCAAAAGGATGAGAGTAAAAAGAGTTTAAAGGTAAGCTATTAAACACTGATGAAATCAAAATGATCAGACAAAATGAAATTTTGTGGAAGGGGGGGAAATTCGGTTCGAGATTTTGAAAGTACACTCCTGCAACTGGTACAGAGTTTGAAAACATTAAACTTAAGTAAAGAATTTACAAAGGAAACTAAAGAAGAAAAGATCGTAAATGTCAAAATAAATTTTAGAAAAGCCTGAGTATGGAGCCACTCCAAGCACACAGTGAACCCCATGAAGCTCAGAATCAATAAATCCTAGAAAAATGAAAATTATAATATATATATATATATGACAACTTGAGAACATCTTCAAATAAAAAAGCCAATCATCCAGTTTCAGCAAAGCTCATTTTAACAAAAATATAAGAAGTTGGGAGGGACCTCTTCTGGAATCTCAAGAAGCGCCGATCACCTTCATGCCTATCAGAGTCATGAGTGAGGTCCTCTTTGAGTACGTCATATGTTGTTAATACAATGTCAGCACTGACAAGTTCATTGATATCCACTCTAGATGCATTTGAAAGAGAAGGAGTTCTTACTCCTTCGTAGATACAAATTTTTAACGAGTCTGGACGTGTATGACTAAGAATGACAAACAAAAGTAAAAGAAATTAATATACAATTACCTTTTGTCAATGAATTGCAATGGAAAGGTATAAAATAATGCAATTCAAAAAACATCCTCCAAAAATGAAGGAATCAAGTGAAATTCACAAGATGATATAAAAATTTCTTCTTTTTCCAAAAGTATAAGTTTACTTACCAGCAACAATGCAAAATTTAATATTACTATAGTTTAAAGGATACTGGAATTTGCAAAAGTGTACAAAAAGAAGTCAGGGAAAAAATTATACCGAATAATCTCAGTGTGCCATTGAGATAATATAGGAGCTGGACAGACTATAAGAGTTGCACCTGTAGCAATGGGAGAGTCAGTAGCTTGTAGTAGCTCCAAACATGGCTTGCAGATATGCTCTCCCTCTCTGACAACAATGTTGGTTGTCTCTTTCCTTCTTTTTAGCTTTTGTAGTCCTTGTTCATCAGCATTTTCACCGACTTTCCGGGCTTTTCCTCTAGGTGAATAACCGACACATTCTGAATGTTGCCAAGCATCACACATGTCACACTGCACCCATAGTCCTTTATATTTACGGTTTTCACTCACAGCTCCACATATGCACTCAACACGCTCCCTTTTCAGTCTTTTGAGACTAGTTTTCCCATCAGTTGTAACCTTAGCTACAGTATCCTTAAATACAGCACCTTCAGATTCAGGCTTCTGGTGTGTAAAGATGCAAGCAAGCAGTTCAACAGTCTTTCCCAAGCCCATTTCATCTTTGATGTTCATAGTTACCACCACAAAAGCAAGCAGAATGATGTCAGATGTGTAGGTAAATATCAGCTTTAAGAAATAGAGGGGGAAAAAGCATTTTTTTCCGGAAATCAGAAGTTAAAAAGAACCCCAGGTTTGAGAAGCATCCACACAGTAAAATACATGAATTGGAACAATTAGTGTCAATATCTACATTCGCTGATAAACAAGCAAGACTAAATTCCCATGCTAATTTGGAACAGCACAATTTCACAGATGGGGTATTCAAAAGCCAAACTCAAACTAATCAGAGATCCTGAAGTGGTTAAAGATTCAGAAATGGTACATGTAAATATAAAATAAATAAGATGGTAACTACTGCAGTAAAATTGCAACGTCTCTAAACTATTGATCAGACTGAATGCAGAACATTCACCTCTATCATTATTAAATTAAACTTCAGCTCTCTTTAATATAATATGTCGAAAGGATTTGAAGAGTTTCTGAACAACTGACACATTGTATACCTGCTAGAATACCACCACAGACATAAGGAGGCATGGGCTCTGGATGAAGAGAAACATTTCCACTGAAGACATTATCCCACAAAGTAAGCAAGTGAATAGAAGAAAAAAGTTTTTTTTTTAGAGTGGGGGAGTGGAGGCTGGGAAAAAGAACAAACCACAACAAGAACAATGGGAGGACAATCTTTCGAGTAAAATGCCAACTGAATAAAGAAACCCTACCCAAATGGATTAAAGAACATTTTTGAAGAAGTATCAAGAAAATCCACAGGTATACTCAATGGAGAAGACAACATGCTCCTTTCCCATTCTTCCAGAATTTTTGAATCACCCTTCTCTCGTTGTCTCATCCAGTAGGCTGCACGCCGCTGATATGGTCTCAAAACAGGGAGCAAGTCAGGAATTTCATCATTCAGCATCAATTTCTCTCTGCAAAGGACATATATAAGTGATTTGCTTCCAGAATTCAATTACAATTAGGAAGTCGGAACATATGTATGAGTTATGACAGTTCAGCATCACTAAATAAATCTATAATAAAATAATAGGACACTCACTTTGATGGCTTTATGGCTTCATAAAACTCAGCAGCATCAAACCTCATTCGTTTTCCAGATCGCGAAGTATCATCTTCTGTCGCTGGATCCAAATCAACTTCCATGTCTGCTGATTCACTAATTCCATACTTAGCCTCAGATGTCATTACTTCAGGACGTAGCCAAGCCATAACATTAATCATACTCTTTTTCCAAAGTTGTCTTGTGTTCTCCAGGAGTGACTCACAATCATCAAAAACACTCTTTAGTATTTCCACCCTGACTCTCAAAGACATGAAGCTCTCTGAAAGTGTTACCTCTGGCAACAGCCGTAAAGTCAGAAATTTCAAACTAGCCAAGTGCACAAGAGCTGAAATACCTTCATCAGGACCGTCAAAACTCCCAGATAACATCAACGATTCCATCTCCGCGCCATCAGATATGTTCTTCTCTATCAATTCCAAAGATACATCACTAGAAGATAACACAGGCCAATGTCCTAGTTTAATACGATTGACAAACTCACTGACATTACAAACTCGAAACCTTAAGGAGTACTTGGAGTCCCCATAAAAGTCCTCACTGATTCTATAACCAGCATACCCTTCTTTCAAATTCAAATCAATCAAAAGAACCTCAGATAGGTCGAGATGCTCATCCGAAAGCCAAGAAGCCCTATCAACTTCTACAAAGAATGGTTTCTCTATATCTACTACTCCCTCCTTTCCCTTTTCCTCGTTTCGGTTTACATCCTGTTTGGGTTCAACATTACCAGTGTTGTCTATAATTAAGGCGCCTGATCGACGTGGATTGACCTGCTTTTTCCGACCCATTTTTCTCACTGCAAACCAAATATGAACGAGATTAAAAAAAAAGAAAATTACAAACAAACCCAGAAGCTTTAAAAGAGGGTTTCAATAGCCAATTCAATAAGCAACTCGTGTTCTTTTGATGAAAAGAAGCATGCCCAGATCATTAAAAATGCCAAAAGAAATAAACAAAAGCTGAAAGCAAAGGAACTCAATTGAATAAGCAGAAATATAACGAAAACGAAGAATTAGATGAAAGCAATGCATATATAAGATAACGAAAATAACATGAAACCTGAGACAGAGATAGAGAAGCAATACCAGGAAACGAATTGAGGTAGAATTCGGTTGCATTAAGAAGGTGTTATGAGGAAAAAGCTTGGGATTTGCATCGTGAGGTTTGAAGGAATAACACGAGACCGCTGCGAGACTGCAAACACGCGCCAAGTGCGAGTTGCCAAAGTCGGTAACTCGACGATAGATTTTTTTTATATCTTATACTATAAATTAATGGGTAAACTGCACTTTTAGTACTTAAACTACTATTTTCATTCCGTTTTAATCACATAACTATTATATTTTTCAAAATCATACCTAATGTTATGTTTTAGTTTCATATTGATAATCTATCATTAAAAATTAATAGAATTGTTAACTTGCATTTTTTTTATTTTCTATTGATGATATGACATTATCTTATGATAATACGTCAGCATCGTTATTAATATTTTAATAGTAGGTGACTAAAATAAAATAAAACATTAAATACAATTGTAAAAAATAATTAAATAACTAAAAAATAAAAATAATGGTTAAAATATTAAACGTGTACTTTACTCTAAATTATTTGATCGATCATTCTACCGCCAAATCTTTGGTCTTTTCTTAATTAAAAGGTTTTTTTTGGTATAATAATGAAAATTATATCTAGTATTTGCTTAAATAAATTTTTTAATTTTTTTTTTTAGATTTTAGCTTCAAATGTTTTTATTTTAGGAGTGAAAAAATTATTCATAGATAGAAATCATTAGTTAATAAATTATTCAAACATTATCAACTAGTTTTTTTATTTTTAAATTTATAATCTATAAAAAAATTATTAAGTGATTTTAATAGTAAAAGATAATGTTATACTTTTTAAGAATTTTGAACTCGAACAATTGCATTACAAGGCGTATATTTATTGTCAATAAAAATTCTAAACAGTTCACAACTTTTCTCATACTGTTAGTAGATTATCGGTTGTAGTCTGGGTTTTCAACTGAACCCACACTTAACTCATTTAATCGGGTGCGAAAAAATCTATTTTTTCCTTTACAATTTGCATACCAATTAAAAGTATAAAACTAAATTTGAGTTCATTCTATACAAATTTTCTTTGTAAATAAAAAATTTATATTTATAAATAGATATTTGAAATTAATATTTAGATGTAAATTGGAAAAACTTTAAATTAAGATGTAAACTCTTATAATCTTTTACGACGTAGTGATTTTTTTATTCCCATGAATTTTTTTAAAAAATATTTGTTTTCACGTTAAATTTTAATATTTTTTAATTTATAATTGTTTTACCCTCATTATTATTATGATTGTACTATTACAAAATCAAAAAAACGCCGAGTATAAATGTACGATGAAGAGAGGTATAATAAAAAATAAAATACAAATCCATATAAATTATAAGGTATCTTTCCTATACATGAATTAACAAATCAAGTAAATTGCTTCATCTATAAGCCTTTTACATTCATCAAACAGATGAATATCAGTCCTTCCACCCCCTCCAATGTATCTGCAGAAAAAAAAAAGTAATATGCTCAGCTATTCAAGTCTTGATTTGTTTTTGCTAAAGTGCGATGAGCTTGTGCTAGAGATGGATGGCCTACGTCCCCTTAGGACTTGGCTTAGTGAAGAATACCCCATAAGTCGATGAAGTGTTGACCCTCCGGTTCTCGGTGGCGACCCTTCGGTTTCGGAGGACACTTTCTTGGATCTGGAATGCACCACTGAATCAAAAGTTTCCATAGGTTTGGAAGAGCTAGAAGACATGTTCTGGACATCAGCATTGCTGCCTTGAAGATGATGAAATTTTGCATGAGAATCAGGGTTTCCATCTGTGGAGCAGCTTATGTCGAAAGAGTGTCCGTAATCGTCGGAGTAAGACAAAGGATCTGCTTGCATTCGACAGTGACTACTTGATGCCGTTCCCGGGATTCTTGCATTAATCACATCATCGCGGTCCTCGACCTCGCTCGGTGGAGGTTCTGCAGCGACCGGCTCGTAAGGAACTATATTGGTTCCTTTTCGAAGTGAGAACTTAAGCACCTTTGAACAAGCACCACATTTTAGCTGATGGAACCTCCTTTTGAACAGTAGAAAATCTGCAGGTAACTGCAACGGGCTGATGCAATGGTAACAAGTTACGAAAGGTGCTCCACCTGCCGTTGGCCGGATATGTCGCCTAACCGAATGATGTTTCTCCCTCAGGTACCTCTTCAGTTCACGGTCTCCATATCTCTGATCATCAGATTGAATTTCATGGACCCTATTAGAAAAATCAGACTCCATATATCTTTGGGGGCTACAGGGTAAAGAGCTGTATGAATCGTAACAACTATGACCAGTGCCGCCTCTACAAAATTCTCGGTTATGTCGAAATTGCGGAGGCAACTGCTCCGAATGCTTCCAGGCTTGAGGATGGCAGTATGAACAGGTGTTGTCAATGCCATGTCTAGTGTTTATTGCACCTCCGGAAAAGGGTACACGTGAGAATCTACTTCTCTGGTTCAAGCCGTGTTCTCCGTAGTAAGCAGGATAAAAAATTTCATCCTCCGGTGGCCGGAGATGGTTGTTATAATGGTTATTCTTCCAAGTTACATCAGTGGAAGCACTTACATTGGTCTTTCCATTCAGATTGCATGTCCTGCTAATTTGATCCTGCAGTTCATATACCATTCTTAACAGTTTCACGTTTTCCTCTTCGCCGTACTCGGCCTTCTCTAAGGGACGAAAGGCCGAATCAAAAGGGAATTCATCTCGCGGATCACGTGAAGGTCCAGCACTTTCATAGCCACGCAAAGGAGTCCTTTGAGACAAAGGAACTTGAGATGGATATTGATCTCTCTCCGGTCTCGGCCAGCTCCTAGGTGGACGGTGATGCATTACAGGTTCTAGCGGTTCGTCTCGGTGCCACTTGCCGTATTTATCCGTCTCATAAGGTTTCTTCTTAGCAGGCTTATAACTATTTTCAAAGGAATGTAATTGCTGATCAGAGAAGTGATCATCAATTCCATCATAAGAAGAAATACTGCCATCATAAGCATGAGAGCTTCTGATGGTAGTGGACTTCGACAAACATTCCGGAGGGCCGCTGAACTCGGAACAAAGGCTGACAAAATCCACAGTTTGAAAAGTATCCGTAGACCTTGAACCATTAACTCCGCAATGTTCACCTATCCAAGAGCCCCCGGCGTTGGAATCAATCTTGTTACTAGTCTCCAATTCCGATTTTACGCCTTCTAACCGCGAGGTCATGTCATTTGCCTCTGCTTCTATAGTTGTTCCTGCTGCCAACATTGATTCTTCATTCGATCTATTTTCATCAAGCACGTCACAATCACTTTCAGCATCACCATCACCATCTCTGGATGAATTTTGATCCTTCTTGTAGCGGCCATTATGTTGGCCTTGTACCGATAATTTCTCATCGTGCTCCTCACTATGAGGATCGGTCGATTTCTCCAGCACTAGCTCTTCATTCCCATGACGAAGCTCCGTTGATAAAGAACCTTCAGTTGAATCTCCTGGCTGTTGAACATCGCAATGTTTGAAAGATTCTGTCTGCAGCAGTCCGGTTCCATTCTGCTGCCCTTCATTCGGTCTAGTTTCATCAAGTATAACACGATCACTTTCACCATCAACATCACTATCTCTGGATGTATTTCGATCCTTCTCGTAGCGATCGAATGGTTCCATCTGCAAGAGTCCAGTTCCATATAGCTTCTCTTTGTATGATCTACTTCCATCAAGCATATCACTATCACTTTCATCATCACCATCACTATATCTGGATGTATTTCGATCCTTCTCGTAGCGATCGAATGGTTCCTTCTGCAAGAGTCCAGTTCCATTTAGCTTCCCTTTGTATGATCTACTTCCATCAAGCATATCACTCACACTTTCATCATCACCATCACTATATCTGGATGTATTTCGATCCTTCTCGTAGCGATCGAATGGTTCCGTCTGCAAGAGTCCAGTTCCATTTAGCTTCCCTTTGTATGATCTACTTCCATCAAGCATATCACTATCACTTTCATCATCACCATCACTATATCTGGATGTATTTTGATCCTTCGCGTAGCGATCGAATGGTTCCGTCTGCAAGAGTCCAGTTCCATTTAGCTTCCCTTTGTATGATCTACTTCCATCAAGCATATCACTATCACTTTCATCATCACCATCACTATATCTGGATGTATTTCGATCCTTCTCGTAGCGATCGAATGGTTCCTTCTGCAAGAGTCCAGTTCCATTTAGCTTCCCTTTGTATGATCTACTTCCATCAAGCATATCACTATCACTTTCATCATCACCATCACTATATCTGGATGTATTTCGATCCTTCTCATAGCGATCTAAAGATTTCATCCGCAACAATCCAGCTCCATTCCGCTGCCCTTCCTTCGATCTACTTTCATCAAGCATACCACGACCACTTTCACCATCAATCTCTCCTGGTGTATTCTTCTCGTAGTCCGTCTGCAAGAGTCCAGTTCCATTGTGCTTCCCTTCATTCAGTCTACTATCATCAAGCATATCTCGATCGCGACCGCCATAACCATTACCGAATCTCGATGTATTCCGATCCTTCTCGTACTGCCAGTTATGTTCCCCTTCTACCGATAAGTCCTCACCGAGCCCCTCACCACGAGAGCCGGTGGATATATCCTGATTCCCTCCACTTTCTTGACTTGAAGGGGAAGGAACAACTTCCTGCAGAGCCGAGCTGCTAGATTCTCCATGTTCGGACACACGAATCGACCTTTTAGCAGAAGCAGCTTCGGTTTCTTGCAAGACAGAGGTGGTTTTGGCAATGGCCTTTTTATTTTTAGCTGCAAAACAGCAAGAAATTGAAATCTACCGACAATACATGTCTACTCTAAGCTTCAATTATTACTGAAAACCCATGGAAAAGACAAGGATCCAAACATATTAAACACATGGAAGAGCACAGAAATGTAAGAAAAAAGATGCTTACCTACAAGAATTGTATCACAGCCTCCACACTTGTACACAGGAAAATCTGCAACTTCAGGAAGAACCAAAAGGCACTTAGGGCATCTAACCAATCGAACTTTAGGAGCTGTTGCAGTTGCCATACAAAAATCCAAGCTGCTTCAGATCTACTGGTTTCCAAGAGAGAAGAAGAACCAAAACATAACCAGGTTTTACAAGAAAACAAACATCCTTTTTCAAGGTAAAACAATACAAACTGGGAGAATAATCAAGGAAATGAAAATGGGTTGAATTTGTTTTATTTGATTGTTGATGATAATTTACGGTAAGTCAAGGGTTGACTTCCAAAACCATTCTTGTGTTTCTCTTCTTAGGCTCTATGTTTGAAGGATGGAGTTGCAGGTACAAACAAAACCAGACCGAATACAACAGTTTGTCTGTCTGGTTCTTAAATAGAAAGTAGAACAAAAGCAAAGAGAAGATTGGGAGCAGAGAGATTGGATGGAGTGTTTCAATCTTAAATTAATTGGGATTTTACCAAGTCAACTCCTGTTTTTAGTTTTATCTTTTTTGTAAGATTTGTTACTTGTCTGCTAACCCCCATGTTTGAAAATGTTTATGAAATTGCTAAACAATAATTCATGCCATTTTCTTTTATGTGTATTTCCCAAGCAATCTTTTATGTGTATTTCCCAAGAAATCTTTTGATACATAGAAGGGGTAAATTAAGGTGTTTCAATTGTATAATCTAAATCCTTTCTGCTCAGATTCGATTTGAGATGATTATAAAGAAATTTATTTAAAACAGATATTAAAATAAACATAAACGGTGATTTACAAAAAAAAAAACATTCAATACGTATAAATTTTACTTTCTTTATGTGCTGATGAAGAGCACAAAATCAGTTTGAGTATATTTCTATCTAAGTTTCGCGCAATAAATTTATCCTACAAATAGATGTATTAGGTATTGGAGTTTAAAAGTAATTTAATTAAACTCTAAATAGTAAATCTTTATGTATTCTTTTTCGATATAATAAATTTTCTCTTTTTATGTCTATGATTTATTTTTTATGAAATTGTCATGGAAGTCATTTCATAATTCGGAGGTCTCCTACGGAAGTTGCACTCAAACTAGTGTTGGGGGCAGCGTACTATCTTACCTCCCCTTACCCCATTACATATGGGAACAAGGGACATCCATTTTTTTTCGATATAATAAATTTTCTCTTTTTATGTCTATGATTTATTTTTTATGAATTTTTTTTTTCACATTAAATTTTAGTGTTCAATATTTTAATATTGTTTTACATTCATTATTATTGTAGTTATATCAATACATAAAATTCAGATAATTTATTTTAACTTTAAATTTTAAAATCTAAAATATTAAATTCTAAACTTTAAATAGAAACCCTAAATCTTGGATTTTAAACTCTACATAAAACATATGATACAAAAATAGATAAGATTACGCAAACAATAATTTTTTTATTAATAAGTCATCCATCATCATGTACAAATCTTATTTTATATATTTATCTTTGATTATCTTAAATTTAAAAGTCTTTTTAATTCAATTTTGCTACATTTTTATAAAATTTAATTAAATAAATATTATAAAAATAACATTTAAAAATTATAAATTTAAATTTATGTTTAAATTATCATGAAAATTATATAATTAAAAATATAAAAAATAGGTATACAATTAAAAAAGAGTATTTTAGTGAATATAACAAGAAAGATAAAATTAAAATTCACCTAAACTTATTTAAAAATAGTAATAGAAAAACTGTCGTACCTTGCTAAGTTTTATTAAATACAACTCTATAAAGTTAAGGTGAATATAAATTTCATGTGTTTAATTTTTTTTATTATCCCTAATATTTATTTATTTTTTAAATTTTCAAAAAATAAAAAAATTGTCTCTATAAAATAAAAATAAAATAAAACTTACATTATAATTAACATGTACGAACATAACAATATAATTATAATGTAAAATAAAATAAAATTCACATTACAATTCGTCTCTAAATTAAATGAATCGATTAACAATAACATTTTCAATCAATCTAGTTAATATATTTTTTTAGTAATTTAATTTATTTTATTTATATATTTAATTTTTTTATATTTGTATAGTTTAAATTTTTTTTTTCTGAAAAAATAAAATAAACCATTGAACTTTAAAAAATCAATTTAACTCTCGAACTCAATTAAAAAATCAATATAATTCATCTGTCACATCATCAATCATGACACATGACACTAGTCACTGTAAACTATCATATCAGTACAGTGAAGTGTAATGCCAGCACTGTAAAAATTAACGAAGAAAATTATTAATTAAATGACTGTATTAAACTTTTTTTTTAAGTTTGAGAGTTACATAGATTAAAAAAACAAGAGACACATTAATTTAAAAAAAATACGAGAACCTCACATACACTTTGATGAATCAAATTTTATTATTAATCTTTAAATTGTGTATAAATAAATACAAATAAAAATTGTGCATCATTGACAAGCAAAGGCAGCCTTGGGCTTGTTTACACGTACATTTCATTTTTTTCAGAAATTGATTTGATGGTCATCCAAGGACGGACTAGGAATAGGATCTAAATTGGCTTTCAGCATCATTCCAATTGTATAGGAAGAAGAATGGGGGCAATTTTACCTAAATATCACGCAAAAATAATTAATTATTAAAATAAGACTCATTGCTAATTAATTTCTCATATAACATTCACTTTTATTACATGGTAAGAAGACGTGTTCGCATTTCATCGAAGTGACATGCTAGTAAGCAAAGACACTTTCTATAGAAAGCGCATTTTATGTGAGTGTCCATCTTAAAGACGTTTTCTGTAAAAGGTGATTTTCTGTTTAAATAACATAAAAAATAATTATTCTACAAAATAAAATCCAAAAATAGAATTTGAATATAACTTAAAATTTTAACCCAAATATAACATTAAATATAATAATTAAACTTAAAATTTAATTCAAATATAAAAAAAATTACATTAAACTTAATATAACAATTAAACCTAAAATTTATTTAAAATATAACATAAGGGTGTGTTTATATTGTTTTTAGATTTAATTATTATATTAAGTTTAGTGTAAAACTTTTATGCTATATTCGAATTAAATTTCAGATTTAATCACTATTTAAATAAATTTTTTATGTTATATTTGAATTTCATTTTTGAATTCTATTTTATAGATTAATTCTTTATTTTTTAAATTTAAATAGAGACATGTTGTACATAAATCGTTTAGCAAGTGGACAATCACAAGACACTTTATACATAAAACGTTTTTGCTAACTAGGAATGTCACGTTGATAAAGCACTGTCTTGTCACGTAACAAAAATAAGTGTTAGATCTAAAATTAATTAACAATGAGTGTTTTTTTAATGATTAATTATATTTTAGATGATATCTGAGTAAAAAAGCCAAGAATATGGACCGATTTATGGATCCTAAAAAGTAAAAATTTAGACATTTTATTAACCTGTGACATGCAATTATCAACAATTAAACACTTTGTTTTAATAATGAAAATATGATTTTAAAAAATTTAACGTCTTAATTCAAATTTCATTAGTCTTAATTTATATTTTGATTTACTCTATTGAGTTGTACATAGCATTATAGCACTACCCACGAGGCATTTGGTTTTTAAAATATATATATTATCATGGATAACAACCTGATTAGAATTATATATTTAGATTGAGGGTATCTCTTTAAAGGATAATATAAGGTTTTCATTCGTAGCATTTTTTAGATAAATAATGAGAATATTTTTCTTTTGATTTCTTAGATATTAGATAATTCTCGTTGTTTTAGATAAAAATACTCTTAAATAATGTTAAAGGTTTCCGGGTATAAGATATAATTTTGGGTTTCTCTCAATACTTCTTTAAGCTATTTATTAATGTGTATATTCAAGAGTTGGTCATGATTCTAGTTGAATTAAGTTTTTCATTTACTTGAATTTGACCGAATATAATATTCCTTCATTGATCATTTAATTGAAGTTTAAATTAAATCAAATTGGATTCAAATATTTATTCCTTTTTATACCCTTATTTTTTATAATTCAAGATAAAATTGTATCCCTAAATTAGGACTTGGGCGAAGTCATGGTTTAAGACGCGGATGACAAAGTCATAGGTTTGACAAATAAGACGCCGACAAACACAATGCACAGACAGCTGGAATAATCCACGTGGCAGAATTTCATCCTCATCCAGATGCTAGTGGGACTCACCTCCTCGGGTCTTTGTCTGTTCATTCTGTTAAAACTGAACAGAATCGAATTAATCGTTTTTTTTATTTAATCGAACAGAATTTTTTTTGAAAATATTAATTGAAACGAATAAATTTCAGTTAATCCGATTAATTTTTGAATTAATCAAAAAAAATTTAAATTTTTTTAATTTATATAAAAATTAAATGTTTTTTAATTCAAAAAAAGTTTATAATTAATTTAAATAATATATAATTATAAAATAAAAATTTCAGATAAATTTTTTAATTAATTAATATTGATTTAAGTTTAAAAGTTATTGGATCTTAAATTATTAATTGGGTTTTAAATGGTTTGGGCTTAGCCCATATGTTATATATAATATATTTAATATTTTTTAATTAAAAAATAATTTATAATTAATTTAAATAATATATAATTATAAAATAAAAATTTTATATAATTTTTTTAATTAATTAATATTGATCTAGGTTTAAAAGTTATTGGATTTTAAATTATTAATTGGGTTTTAAATAGTTTGGGCTGAACCCATATATTATATATAATATATTTAATATTTAATTTCGATTAATTCGGTTAATTAACCGAATTCGAATCGAATTAACCATTAACCGAATTCTAAAAATTTTCTTAACTGTTAATCGATCGAACTAATTTGATAACCGAACTAAATTAACTGAACAACACCCCTCTTTGCCTTTGATGACCAGCAACAGAGATGTGTGAAAAGATTTGCTCTTTTTTCTGCAATCTCCTGCATTGAATATCCATACCTACTCTTTATGATGTGTCTGCTCCACTACTTATATTCCGCCACGCTTCAACATGAAGATCACATCCCTCCTGCTGAGTTGGATTAGCTTCCACGGGATCATATCTCATCGCATCATTCATTAACACTCGTTAAAACATCATTTTGATGAGTCATATATTATTAAAAGTTGAAAAATTATCCGTTAATTATTTATATGTTTTAAACTCATTTTTTTTTGTTAAAATATTGATAATAATATGATACATGAAGATCACATCCCTCCTGCTGAGTTGGATTAGCTTCCACGGGATCATATCTCATCGCATCATTCATAACATTTAAAACATCATTTTGATGAGTCATATATTATTAAAAGTTGAAAAATTATCCGTTAATTATTTATATGTTTTAAACTCATTTTTTTTTGTTAAAATATTGATAATAATATGATTTAAATATTAACCTATAGACTAATATATGTTAAAATGTAATCCTAAAATCTCAAACGGCTATCTTTTTTCAGTTAGTAGTTAATATTAAGTTCATACTACCGTCAATATTTTATCAAAAATGATGAATTTGAAACATATGAATTGTCGGGTAACCATTTTATAACTCTTAATAATCAAAGGGCTTAACAAAGCAATGTCATATAGTTAGAAGATCATTTTATAATTTTTAATAGTTGAGAGACTCAACAAAATAATATCTTATAGTCATAAAATATTTTACTCTTAATATTAAATGTTAATTATGCCTCTAAACTATAATTCAAGTATTAAATCTACTTAGAAAGTTTCAGTGTGATCCAAATATTAATTGAAGGTTTGTTTTTCATGCAATTCAAGTCGTTAAAAATGATTATTTATTTATTTTTCATGCAATACATTTGATGTTAAAATATAAATTTTTCATGTAATACATATAAACATTAAAATATGATTTATATATTTTAAACATGACTAAACATTTAACACCGAAATTAATTGTTAAGCTGGTATAAGGATATGATAAATATAATACTGACATTTTAAGAATTTCGTTAAAATATTCTAAAATTTAAATACCAACTTAGAAGTTAGAATATTATTCATAGTTTGAAAACTTGAAATATTTTAAAAGTTTTAAGCTAGGCGGTGAATTATAATTACTAGCTTTATATATATATATATATATATATACACTCATACAACGATTTAATAGAGTGTAAAACTAATAAGTTACATTGTGCAAACATATCTTTACTCATATATATATATATATATATATAGGATCCTATTATACAATGTAAATTTCTTTTAGTTTTGCATAAATTTTAAACCGTTAGATGAGTGAATGGATAACTGAGATTAATATTAGGAAATGAGAAGATATTCACAAGAAAAAATAAGGAATTAATCTCGATCATCTATTTCCACTCATTTAATTATTCTAAATCTATATAAAACTAAAAGAGTTTTATATTATATAGATTGATAGATAGATGGGGTTAGGATCCACTTACATCCAGTATAAAACTCTTAGTTTTACACTTTTTTAGGATTATTAGTTGAGGGAAATCAAAAGTTGAGATTAATTTTTTTTTCCAGTAAATATATTCTCATTTACTACTGTTAATATAAACCTTTGATTTCTCTTATCCAATGGGACAATATCCAATTACACCCAGTGTAAAACTAAAATTTCTGCACAATTTTAGGACTGTAGGATGAAAAAAAATCAAAAATTGTGATTAACTCCTTGTTTTTTTTAGTGAATATCTTCTCATTTTCTACTATTAATCACAACATTCGATTTTCGTCATCCAACGGTCCTAAAAAATGTAAACTCTTAATTTTACACCGGATTTAATCAGATCTAACCCTGTATATATATAGACTAAGAAAATTATCACATGCAAACCTATTTGGACGTCTAACATATTAGAATGATATCGAATCCTAACTCTTGAACCGTACACCTGAAATATTAATCTTAGATATTAAAAAAGACAAATGATATAAATAAAATATGGTTTGTATAACTTTTTTAACGTTAGTGTATGAGAAAATAATTCTATATTACATAGATTGTAAGTCATTGGTTTCAATCTTCCTTAAATTGCAACTTATTATTTTATAATAAATAATCCATGGGGAGCTCCACAAAAAAAAGGCATGACCATGGACTATGGAGTGGAGCTGAAAAGAATGATTCAACAGCCATCCTGCAAAGCAACACAAGAGACCATATATAACCAAGACCAAATCCAAAAGGACCACCATTGATTTGTGTTCATTCAAACACAGTTTCTGTTTATGCAAACTCTCATTCCCATAAATTCCCAATCATATATTTACAATCCTAAACTGGTATAAAATTTTAAAAAGTTATATATATAGAGAGAGAGGCTTTAAGATCCACTTATATAATGAACATTTTAAGTTTTACACGTTTTTTTTATTGTTAGATTAATTAAGTTTAATGTCTGAGATTAAAACTTTTATATTTGAGAATAATCCACTCCCTTCTTTCCCGCAAACCTCAACTCGTTTCCTATTATTAATCTAATGATATTTTTCATTCATCTAACAATCCATAAAACATATAAACTTTACAATTTTACATTAGGTCAATGGATCTTACATCTCTCTATATTGATTAGAGTGAATGGTATCATATGCATATAGAAGTATAAAAAGAGTAGTACTACCTTACCGGATAATTGGACACATGCTTTTGGATAGCTCACATCACAGGCTAATCCAGTTCGAGTAACATACACTAAAAGCATGCTATGAAAGGATGGTTATCTTAAACAAGCATCCTACGTTTGTAAATTGCAAAGTTGGGGCCGGTCTAGTTATCTCTGCCAGAAGTAACCTGTTTTCTTGGTGGTGATCGCTTCTACACCCTTTCAAGGGAGGGGTAAATCTTTCACGATCCGGGTGCTCAAACTCGTCTGCAGAGAAAGAAACAGTAGGAAGCAAGGTAGCCCTCCAAATAAAAACTATCAGTCTGCCTGTTCAAGGAGTCATTGGATGAAAAGACATGATAACAGAATGTCACCACCGACGGAAATAGTGTTCTCAACATGGCAAGACGAAATGAAAATTTGGTAAAACCATGTTTTATTAAACGTCCATCATTATTTATTTCAACAGGGCCATTTGACTACAATGGCCACAATCAGTATAATGAAGGGGCAATCAAAGAGTTTATCTGGCATTGTTAAAGCCTCGAGCAAACTTTCAGAAACTTTAGTAAGCAAAAGCAAGAAGGGAGAAGAACAAAATCAAGGTAGCCGTCATTGATTGCCACCTTTTTCAAGCTTTTCAACTTCTTCACGACGCTTTCTTTCAGCTTCTTGAAGTTCTCGCTCAGCATCCTCCTCTTCCTCGATTTGGTCAAGATCATCAAATTCCTTGGTTGCAGCCATTGCCTTCACTACGGGATCTCTCAGCACAGAGATCAACCCACCACCAACCTTGTACTCTTCTTCATCACCAATCAAGAATAGCCGCTGATCAGGTCCTGATGCCATTGGAATGTCTACTGCTAATAGCTTCATAACATACTGCAATTAAAAATAACATATGCTCAAATATACAGGAATGGGCCAAAATACTAAGTAAACCCTCAAGTTATTTCACTTTTCTTAAACAATCCCATTCTTTTATTGTATCCAAATATGCCTCTACCCTTTGATTTGAAATTGAACCCCAAAAGGCCCTTGTTTCAAATAAAAGGTTGATTCATGTTAAAGGTTTATTGAGCTATAAATTAAAGGTTGGGGTAACTTGGGTATACATTAACGACTAAGGTGGCCTTTGGTACTTTCCTATGTTACGATTCTAATGGAATGTAATTCTTGAGAACATGATTGCTAAGAATGTGATTTTCAGGAACATAACGTTACAATGTTTGGTACAAGGAAAATTCCAAGGAAAGTTGATACGTTTTAGCATAGCAACCATGGTAATCACTCTCCCACCAATTAAAATCCTCGGAAAGTGATTACTTCCCAATTTCCATCATACAAAAGAAAACGAGCTCTATGTTCTTATCTGGGTAACATTTTTTGAATAATCTGGGATGATTACAAGGTAATATTTGTTCAGAATTTTTCTTAGCCTATGACAACACGCACACACCTTGCAAACGTAGCTGCTTGAACCCGAGTCCTCTAGGGAGAATAACATTTCCTTTTACTACTAATGCCACTCAATGGGTTCAAGACATTAAATATTTAAATACAGAAGAATTGCAGAGAGAAATCTCTTCATCAGCTCCCTCTCTATCATTCTCAGAAGAAAGATATAAGGTTCCCCCTAATTATTTACAAACATATCTAGACATATACTCTCTATTCGGGAGAGATAAGGTTCCCCCTGATTATTTACAAACACATGCTTAAAATGTAGTACTAGCTGAAAAACTGAAGTTTTGCTATCTATCTCTGTAACATCCGCAATACCGGGTTAGTGACCAAATTGTAAAGTTTCAGAATTTGGTGACTAAAGTAGAAGAATGAAAGAATTCAATGATTATTTGAATATATATATATTGAAGGTTATTTGGTATTTATTAAAGGAAATTAAGGGTATTATGGTCATTTGACCAGAAAGATTTTTTATAATTTTTTTTTTGTTAAAGGGTAATAAGCACGGAGGAAGAAGAGTCCAGAGCATTCTTCAGTCTTCTTCCTCCTCTCAACCGTGAAGCTTGGTATAAGGTAAGTGGGTCTTTAGTTGGTTAATTCTTTCGTTTTAAAGCTTGTTTTGATTCTTGGGATATTAAGAAAGATTAAGGAAAGCTTTAAGTGGCTTAAACCTCAAAGATTAACAAGTTATGAGAAATTAAGAAAAATGAGTTTTTAAGTGAATTTTTGATATGGAAGGAGTTAATAGATTGTGAAGTTGAATTTGACTTGTCAAGGATTAAATTAAGAGATATGAAGTGATAGAATGGGAATTAGAACACATTGAAAATTTGGTATGATTTTTGAATCTTATATGGAAGATAGAATTTTGAGTTTAAAGAAGTGATTATGGAGTAGAAATGAGTTTAAGTATGTGTATGAAAGTTAGGAATATTAAAGGGAATGAAGTATGATGTGTTGAGCTGAAAGTGAAGGATTTTCGAGCTCAAAATATGATTTCTGGGCAAGGGGAATCGGTACCCATTCAAGGGGAACCGATACCCCTTCAAACGAACAAGAATTTCCAGTATGTCATGGGGGAACCGATACCCCCATAGGGGGGAACCGATTCCCCCTAAAGGAAAATTGGGAATATGGGTTTAATAAGTTAGTTTAAGTTGCTAGTATCCAATTACAAGGTGTAGGTACCTAATGATGGTCTCGAAATGTACATTTATGTAGATTCTACGCATAAAGCAATTCCGGAACGTTTGGCAAGTAAGATCGATCAAGGGAAAGATAAGAGATTGGAATTGGCTAGTGAGGCCAGGTGAGTGCATATTAGTTAGTTTATGGTGCTAAATGGAAACAAGACTTGTGACAAGTCTATTTCCTATGTTAGAATGCATGAATATATGATTATACGTATATGAATGACATGAATTGTATGTATGCATGAATATATGTGTTGACATGCTTTTGAATGTAATGTTATGAGAAGTATGTGCTATATAATGTATATATATAGACATATGTGAAACTGAACTATGTCTGCATGAAAGATATGAGCCATATGACATATAGGTGAACATGAGAAAGCAAAGTATGAGATATAAACTATGTGATCATAGTAAAATAATTATATTATTATATGATAAGTGAAATAAGCTGGATAATATTGATCTATAGGATGAAGTGAAAATAGTACACTAACTAGGGGATTTGAACATAAATGATAAGATGAACGTATAAGATAAGCTTGATGGGAAAGATTCATAGGTTTAAATAAAACTATAACACAGGGGTTGAATGATAGAAATTTGTGAAGTTATAGAAGATTTAAGAGTGATATGAAATTGAATTAAGTAACAGATTAGATTATATATAGAAATAATAGAAGTGAGATATGTTTATAAGTCTGCCCTAGATGAATACGAAATATAAGAGTGCTATGATTATATTAGGATAATCTTGAGGATATAGATATATATAGATAGATATGAAATGAAATGAGTTATATGAATACACAATTATGTGATGAAATGGTGAATTACCTGAACATGTGAATATATATATATATATATATGTTTAAGAGAAGGCATAAGATTAAGATATAAGCAATATGACTTATAAGTATTGCTATTATAATGTTACATGATATGTTATGTAGTTAAAGGAATTATGTGATGGTATAAGAAATGCTATGAAATATATATATGTGAAAACAAGTATAGGTTATGAGATAAGACTTATGACTATAAGCTACGTGAAAGTGTTCTAGGTGTTTCGATATATTATATGAAGTATATGATCTTATGTGAACAAGATAGGATAAGTATGTTTATATGAATAAAGGTGATTGGGTGAGAAATGATATAAATTATATGAAAACATATGTGACATGTGAATTATATGGAAATGATCTACGTGCAAGTGAACTACGGGACTATGTGATCATATGAAAAGAAGCTATGTGATACGTGATATGTGAAAGTGAATTACAAGTTTATGTGAATATTTGAAATGAAATAAATGATAACGCCCATGTTATGTGTCAGAGAGCTAGGGGTATAGTTGGCATGCCAAGAGTCGAGGGTCTATTCGGTTCTTTAGGACATATGTATATTCTTTGGAACATGTGTGAAGTCTCGAAAGACACATACTGATCCCTAGCATATGTATATGATTCTTAAGGAATTCTACGTGGTCCTTATGGACATCATTATATGGCACTACGGTGCAATTCTACGGGCACTTCGGTGCAATTCTACGGGCACTTCGGTGCAATTCTACGGGGCACTTCGGTGCATTTATACGAGCTGTGGTGACAGCATAGTGCACAACCTCTATAGACTCACATATTAGTTCTCACATATATACATGGGCTAATCCAGAAATATGAACAAATAAAGTTAGTGGTATGATAAATGCTATAGAAATGATATGATGTGTGTGTGTATAGTGTTTGATTGAAATAGTATGTGATTATATGATAAACTGTTAATGATGAACTATGTGTATGCATGTATTTACTGCAATTAATCTGATATGATTTTATACGATATGAAAAATGCATTAAGTTGCTGTAACATGATAGAACAGAACATGCATGTATCAATATAGGTTTTAAAGTGCATTAAGTTGTTATGCCTCACTAAGTCTTCGACTTAGCGTGTGATTGTTTCACACGTAGGTTTCGAGAAGAGTAAGGAGAGAGATGCGGAGCAAGACAGGTCAGTTTTCCTTACCAAAAGATCAGATCAGAAATATTTGACAAAGTATGTTTTTGGTTATGTATAAAGTGTTGGCATGTAATAAGTCATTAAGTACGAGCACTATGATAAAGTCTGTATTTTGTTTTAAATAAAATTTTAAATTTCCCGGGATTTTTCTTAAGAGTCAAGGTTTGAAAAGTCAATGTGACACTTCGGACTCGTATCCGGGTCGGATACGGGTTGGGGGTGTTACAATCTCACTGTTGGATAACCAAGCAAGATGCTCTCTCCATCATATGAAAGCTTAATGAAATGATCAAATTACACCTACAAGTAAATGAGCTAGATAAAAATCTTAACCATGAATTGATTAGTACTATCATATTTCTTGAAGGTAAAAATAAGGAGAGGAAAGTGGTTTCCACAGCGCAAGTGACTTAGGAGCTTTACAATTATGTTATTTTATTATTTTACTTATTTATCTATCATTAGACATATAGATAGATGGCTAGGATTATTAGTTTTCTTTAAGGTTTAAATCTAGAGTTAAGATCATAAGTTATCTTTAGCGTTTAAATCTAGGACTAGGATTAGAACTCTATTTGTAACTCCAGAAAGTTGGCAATTTAGAAGCAAACCTCGCCCTTGTTCTTCTTGACTTCAACGCTTACTAAACCCTTTCTCTCGGAACCTTGGATGGGGAAGATAAGAAAACACCGTTTTCTTCTAAACTTTGGTTTTAAGTTCTTCAGTGTAATTCCACCACCAGACATCACATAAGCTCTTAAATCTGTTCCCGTGAGTGGTGCACCCATAACCTCAAGAATCTCAGGAGATGTGTTAAGCATCCTCATTGCAATTCTATAAACTCTGTCGGGATTTATCGTTAATCTTGAGCGAACATACAAACCCTGATGATAATGAATGATCATGAAACAGAGAGTCATAAGATACCATCATTTCCCCCCCAAAAAAATGCCAGAATCATCCGTCCAGGCAAGAAGCAAAATAACCATACTCATGAATTCAATAGCAAAATATGGGCATTTCAAAGAAGCAATGTTTACTCTTATTGGAGTACAGAAACACATTAGTCAACAAAGAAATGTAAAACCGAGTATGCAATAAGACGATATACAATGAAATAAGGTGAATTCAACGGCAAAAGTTTCATTATAATTTGTTATCCAAGAACATTCATACAAACTACAAAACCAGAGAAAGTCATCAGAATTTGTAAAACCTACTTTGAGTAAGCCAAAGTAAATAGGTTGTCCAAACCCAATACATTAAAGTTGGTATATAAAAGGTTCATAGGTATTGACATACAAATGTAGGGTGGTAAACGAGTTGAGTCAAGTTTGAGTATTGTTGAGTTCGGCTCGACTCAAAAAATTTAAATATGAGCTCGATTCAACTTTAAGGCTGGTGAGCTTAAAATTGTCAAGCTTGACTCAAAATAAAAAATTGAAGCTCAACTCGAGCTCGAGACATTCTCATACTTAACTCAATTAAAGGTCGAACTCGAGCTTGAATCTAAATCTTAAGTACATAAAGATCTTAAATTGCATTATTTAAAAAAAAACATGTAAATGTTGATATTACTAATAGTTTAATTTAAAATTTTAAAATTTTAATATATTATTTTTTTTGGAATTGTTTGTGAGCTTTTTGAGTCGAGAACAAATTTCTCGCTTTGACTTGTTAAAAATTCAAGTTGAATTCGAGCTCGAGTCCATTCAATTCGAGTACGATTTGAACTCAAGCAGCTCGCCTTATGTCTCATATCATTTACAGTCCAGACAATAGACAAATGCATGGACAACTCGCAATTAGCAACATTGATTAAGTGAATCAGTATTCAGAAACATCCATTGTGGTGTCAGTTATTCAACATCAAATCAATCCAAAACCCAAAAGATAGCATGTTGGTGAATGAGCAAAAGCGACTTACAGCGAAAGAAACAATTGCAGTAGAAAGGGCGAGAAAGCCATACTTTGCCATCCCTTCAGAGAGGCCAACAAAAGTGTTGGCAATGCCGAACATAATCCTCCAAAGCAAAGCACAGAGGAGAACCCCTCCAACGCCAAACAGAAATAAGTAATTTTTCTTGAAAAAGGCATCGAAATGCAAAGCAATAGCCTCCCGGTACTTGGACAAAGTGGAAGTGAAGACACTGGCCGGGTTTTGAAAAACGTTTTTGGCGAAATGGGTATTGAATTTGGGGGCGGAATTAGAGGGTTTAAAGGAAAAGAACCTAAACCCAGAAGGGGAAATGGGGTTGGGTTTTGGAATGTAAAGGTTTGAGAAAGGGTTAGTTCGGGAGCGAAAAGGAAAATGGGAAAGAGCTGATTCAGCCGAATTTGAAGGGATTTGATGCAACGGGTTGACTTGAAGACGGTTGAAGTGAAGTTTGAGGAAAGCAGACACAATTCTTGAAGAAGAAGATGATGATGATGATGAAGAAGAAGAAGATAGCTTCCACATTTTCAAGTTCAGAGATTTTAGATTCTAAGGACGCACAAACTCTCGACGATCAAAACAAAGGAAACTTACTTCACCTATTGGATTATCAAAAACCAGAAATTGGAGAACGAAATAGCATTGTTGGAAAATCAGATCGGACGGACTGATTGAACGCAGAATGGTTGATTTAACAATATGGAAAATTGGTTAGAAACTAAAGACCTCTTAAGAATTGATGAAAAAAATTCCAAAACTCAGCTAAAATTTTATAAAACAATTCTTTATATAATTCTTTTATAATTTTTTGCCATGAAAATTGAATTGTTTATTACAAGTTTTATCTTATATAAAATATATATAGATTATCTTTAAATTCAATTATGTATAAATCATTTTCAAACATAATTTGATTATTACTTCAATCTTTTGTAAGAACTACCAGTAATAATGAATTTGTAAAACAAATCTATTTATCATAAATATTCAAATAATTATTTGATGAACAAGTCAAAAGTTTGTTTAGGGATAGCATTTCTCTTTTTGTATTTCCATAAAGATATATACGATATAAGTGAAAAAATATATTTTATGTCCAGATTATTATATAAAAAATTACTCGATCATGTTCCCGATCCGTAACCGAATCCAACAGGTCCAAATCGAAGAACATATTAGGCAACATCAGCAAACACAAATTCCTAATAGTTAATACTTATGAATCAATTGAAACAGTGAAGTGTATTATTCAAAACTGCAATTCCATTACAGATTCAAAATACCAAATATTCTAAGCCATCTGCTCAACTGGCAAATGTAGAACAATAAACTAAAATGGCAGTTCACTAGAAGTTTAGGAAAGCATTTCAAGATTTTGTAGACCTAAGCTGATGCATGTAGAAAAGCTCTTCCAGGTTGACGATTAGCCAAAGGTCCATGGCATCCGAGAAGCTGCACATTCAAGTTCCACTTTAGGAAAGACAAAAACCATCAAGGGAATTAATCTATCACTAAAATAAGTTCACAATTTTTTTATTCATATTCTTCCTAAGATCTACACAGCCACAAAGTGTTGAATACAGAGATACGTGAGAACAAATCATGGTTGAAAGTAGGAGTGAGCAAACTCGACTAAAAAAATAATTCAAATAAAGTTTGAATTATAAAATACGACTCGAATAACTCAAAACTTTTAGTAATTAGTAGATTAATTTTAAGTTCAGGTCGAATTTCTCAACTCTACGTGATATATGCATATCACGCATGAATAAATATATATATATATATGCATATCGTATATGGTTATAGAAAGCCGTTAAATTAGAATCATAATATTATAAATATTTATAATTAAATTTAAACAGAAACTCGAACAATTTGACTAAAAAAAATCAAATAAAGTTTGAGATGAAAGCATTGTGTTTGAAAGAGATAATATTCCAGCATGTCTTTAGTTTTCTTAATACCTACCTTTGCATTGACACCATCTGGCACAATCCTGTTCTCAGACTTCCACTTTAGATAATCAGAACGGTTGTACTTGGTAAAACCCCTGAAAATGGCAATGGGGAAATGTCTGATTATCATTCATGTATATGTTCATTTATATAATGTATACAAACACATACAGAAAACACACACACATGTATTGATCTTTACTTTCGTCAAGCTAGCACTAAGCCTGAAGCAATAAGAGGGTTCTAATTCTAGAGCCTAAAGTGTGTATTCTACCCTATGCTTTCACAAGCAGAGATTAATGATATCTGTTATCTTTTAGTATAGACTGAGGAGTTTCAGAGTTCAATTTCTAAGAATCAAAATTCCATACCACTTCCTGCTAACGATAATTTTTTGACGACCGGGAAACTTGAACTTTGCACGACGTAGGGCCTCTTGAGCATGATGACTGTTGCTGTCCTTACAACGTACAGAAAGCAGGACCTGACCAATGTTAACTCTTGCACATGTTCCTTGAGGTTTCCCAAAAGCACCCCTCATTCCAGTCTGAAGCCTGTCAGCACCGGCACATGAAAGCATCTTGTTGATCCGAAGAACATGGAAGGGATGAACCCTAACCCTCAAATGGAAAGCATCTTTCCCAGCGAATTTGGCCATATACTTGTTGCAGGCTATTCGAGCAGCCTCCAGTGCCTCACTCGAGACATTCTCCTTCTCCCAACTGACCAGATGGACGCAGAAAGGAAACTCATCGACACCTTTTTTTTTCATTCCAACATCATAAATTCTGATCTTAGGGTCCGGGACACCGCGACAGTATCGAGATTTTGGGTATGGCTTGTTCTTGATTTGCCGGTAACACCTCGCAGGTCCTACAGAGAAGAATTTTAGCAAATCAACACACTTTTGCGAAGTCAAGAAGATTATATAGAAATATGCCACTAGTCCTTTCACTTCAGCAAAACATGAGATTAGTCTTAGCAAAACCTAAGATTAGTCTTTCTTCTTAAAAAGGTTAAAAATCAAATCCTCTTCTTTTTGTTCAAAGATTCTAGCTTAATCATTGAAACAGGTAGTACTTTCTATAAAAAAAAATTGCTTATAATCAGGTTTTATAACTAAATTCATAATAATAATAAGCAAAATTTGATAAATAATACTAAAGATGCCAATTAAAATACTAAATCTCAGACTTTAAGAAGAAGAAAAATCCAGATTAACATAAGAATAATTATAACGATATCGGAGAAGATCAGTAAGCATAAGAATAATCAGAGGACGGAACTTACTCCTCCCCATGTCGTATCGTAGTCCAGATGAGATTTGAGAGCACAAAATGAAAATCCTCAAACCCTAATCCTGCGCCCTTCTCATATTATATCATTCATTTCGTGTTCAACAATCCGCCGCCCAAAGCCCAGGTAGTAAATGTAAAACAGAGCAATGAAAAAGCCCATATCTACATTGAATTTATATTTAAATTTTGACTTTCTCGATCCTTTCATAACTTTCAAACTTCAGAAATGCTTTCACATGAAGCCTTCAACAACATGAACTGAAAAAAGAAAATAAAAGAAAGCCTTTAACAACTTTGCTTTCTCTTTGAACTATTCTTTGGCGTAATCAACTATCATACATGTGAACGGTGAAGAATATTGTGCGGGGAATCATACAAAGACAAAGAAGATTGAATTGTTAGTTAAATCATTTGCTGATTTTATATTCAATTCGAGAGTTTTACAGAACTAAGCCGTTGAATCGACAAATTAAAATTTTGAGTAAAAAAATTGTTTTGAATTTTACCAGTGTTTGAGGAATTTTTCCTTTCCCGCTAGTGATGTTCATTAAATAATATGTTGTCATTGTTGTTCAGCCTGTTACCGCTGTTGTTGAATGTTGAGCTATTTATAAATTATTCTTGAAGGTGTCTTATTTCCTGTTGTAAGTTGGCAAACTAATATGATTTGAGTTTTAAGAGAATGTTGGTTGAAGATGATACTGTAACTTGTAAGAATATAAATGAATAGAACGGATGGATTATTTGTATATTATTTGTTAATGTTGTTAAAAAAGTGAATATAAATAAAATTTTATGTTCTTTTATTTAATGAATGAGTTTGAATAAATATATTGTCAGGTTGGTTGTATTCACGAACAAACTTTATTTATAAACTTATTTATTGTTTGTTTATTTAAGTTTAATATTTTTGTAATTCAAAAAAAAAGTTTGATATTTTCTTATAACATATACTTAAACAAATTGATATTTTTATTTTATTTATAATACAATTATTAATATTTATGTTGAATATTTTATATCTAAAAATAATTGCTATTTTTATTTTCTATTTCTCGAGTAGGAAATTTTTGAGTTCGATGGTTGAATTTTTTACTGATTAAAATGTTCATTTGAACATTTAGGATACGAATTTAAATCGTTTTAATTTATTAAATTGAATAATAGTCTAATTCGAAATTAAATTTGAAACTAATAAGTGAAACTAGAAATATAAGGACTAAATTGTATAATTGTCAAAAGAGGAAGATTCGCATGGTGATTATTGCCTAAAGACATTTTAGAGGAAATTGATGAGAAATTGGTGTTTATGAGTCAAGGCTTTTATTTTATAGAAATTAGTAGTTTGGTGAACATTTTAATATTTTATAAATTTGGATAATATGATGAAATATTAGTAAAATAGTGCTCAGTGCAAGGCTTTTCTCCTCCAAAAATGAATAGAGAGAGTGAGATTAAGGTGGGTGTGATAAACCATTAAAAATGAAAAAAAAATTAATATTTTAATATTTAACGTCCACATCATCGCGTTGTTAATGATTTTACGATCCAGCGTTGTAATTGAAACCAAAATTAAAGATCCATGATACAATCATACCAATTTAAAGTTCAATGAAGAATTCAATAGAAAGATTAAAGTTTAATGATATTTGGAGTAGTTTACCCAAAAATAAATTTTACTAATTTAGAGAATAATTATCTAATATAAAAAACACTTATAAAGTTTAATATTAAAATTTTAACACATAATATTTTGTACTTATTTTTTAAATTTTCAAAAAAAAACTTAATCTTGTAAAACTCTTGAATTCAATATTAAAATATTTAAATTCAAATAGGTTTATTACACAAATAATTTGTATCAAACTCGTCTCTATTAATTTTCATCCATTATTCTCCAATACAAACTTAATTACAATTCAATACTAGAAAATCATATAAAATCAGCAAATGATTTTGCAGTTCAATCTTCTTTGTCTTTGTATGATTCTCCACACAACATTCATATGTACGAGAATTTTGATTAGATCATATGTATGATAATTAATTACACCAAAGAATGCTTCAAAGAGAAAGCAAAGTTGTTGAAGGCTTTGTTTTCTTTTGACCTTTAGTATACGGGCTTTGGGCCGCGAGTTGTTGACCTCTAAATGAAATAAATTAATAAAGATGGCACAAGATTAGGGTTTACTGATTTTTTGTATTATTAATTTATAGTGTTAAAACCCCCTTAAACATTTAACTAATCACTTTGTTTTTATTTTTTTTTAAATATGTTGATCTCCAATGTTTTATTTCAGTACAAAATAACTTAAAGGTGAATGAAAATCGTTAGTTAATTAATGATAAACTTTTGTCATCGAAGTGAGATTATCACATTATCAATTTTGACACATGACATGTATTACATATCAC